AACGGGCTGTCCCAGCGCTGTGTCACAGGGCCACCTGTCTGCCCTAAGGTCACGCCTGGCGTCTCCCTATCACCCAGGACGTTTGCCCGGGGTCATCAAGTCCCCTCTGCCCACTTCTTTTCCCAGAGCCTAGCTCTTCCATGAACATTTTGGAACAACCTGCCCAAATTCCTTGAAAAACTGTTGGTTTTTCAATTTTGAGTACATTGAATCTATACACCAATTGGGGAAAATGAACATTTTTTTTAAATTCATTCATTTTTTAACCTTCACCCGAGGGTATGTTTTTATCAATTTTTAGAGAGAGAGAGAGAGATCAGTATAAGAAAAACATTGATCTGTTGCCTCCCATACGTGCCCCAACGGGGGGGTCAAACCTAGGTACGTGCCCTGACTGGGAATTGGACCAGCAAGCTCTTTGGTGTATGGGAGGATGCACCAACCAACTGAGCCACCCGGCCAGGGCAAAACATGAACATCTTTTAAATATTGAGTCTTTTGCGCAGCCAGTGTGGCTCAGTGGTTGAGCATCAACCCAGGCACCAAGAGGTCGCCAGTTCGATTCCTGTTCAGGACACAGGCCCAGGTTGTGGGCCAAATCCCCAGGGGGGGCATGCAGGAGGCAGCCAATCGATGTTCTCTCTCATGGATGTTTCCATCTCTCTCTCCCTCTCCCTCTCTCTAAAATCAATAAAAAGAAAAAAAAAAAAAACCTTAAAAAAAAATTGAGTCTTTTGCCCAGCTGGTGTGGCTCCGTGGTTTGAGCCTTCTCCCATGGACTGAGCGGAGCCAGTTCAATTCCCAGTCAGGGCACATAAGGTTGCGGGTCGACCCCCGGTAGGGGGTGTACAGGACGCAGCCGATATTTGTTTCTCTCTCCCATTGATGCTGCTCTCTCTCTCTCCCTTCTTCTCTCTCTAAAAAAAAAAATCAATAAAAATATATTTAAAAAAATAAAATGTGTGCACAGATCTTGAGTAGGTGGAGCCTCCTTTCTTTGCAGATGTTGAGAAAGGACTCACTTCTTCTTTTTTTTTTTTTTGGCGCGTGCCCCTAGCAGGAACCGAAACCGTGACTCTCTGGTCCGCAGGCCAACGTTCCAACTGCTGAGCCAAACCGGCCAGGGATCACTTCCGAGGAACAGGAGACAGTAACACTGTGACTCACTCGCTGGCTCCTGACACCGGGGTCAAAAAGACATACGGCTTCCTCCTAGACACGTGCTCCAAGGGATCCCGTGCCACCCCAGTGGGGACACCCCAGCAGCCCTGCGTGGACGAGAAACTGAGGTGCTGTGCCAACAGCCAGACCAGTGCACTGTCTGGGAAGCGGGTCCTCCAGCCCTAAGCAGCCTCCAGAGACCCTCCTGCGATGCCAAGCCAGGGCCACTGGCACGGTGGCTCCGAAATTCCCCGCCCACAGAAACCCTAGGACGTGACTGTGGCGTCAAGTCGCTGAGTTGTAAGAAATAACTCATCATGTCTGACTCCTTGAATTTTACCTTCTTTCTGCGGTCCTGCCCCTAAAATTTCTTTTTTTTTTTTTTTTTTATCCTCACCCGAGGACATTTTTCCATTTTTTGTTCAGGTAGAGTGGGAGGGAGAGAGAGGAACAGAGAGAGAGAGAGAAACATCGACGTGAAAGGGACACATCGAGTGGCTGCCACCCGCACGACGGACCAGGGCCGGGGACAAACTGCAACCGAGATACGTGCCCCTTAGCGGGAACCGAACCCGGGTCTCTCTGGACCGCAGGCCGACGCTCTAACCGCTGAGTCAAACCGGCCAGGGCCCTAAAATTTCTTTAAATAATGTCCCGTTGGTGGTCAACTCTCGAATTTTGTTTGCACGTGTTTTTATTTTGCCCTCATTCTTGAAAGGTCGTTTCTCTGGGGATGGTCTTCGGGTTAACAGTTACAGTCTGAGCATGAAAGGTACATTCACCTCTCTGGCCTTCGTCTCTGAATTATTATATAATCTTGTAAGAGAAAATGTGCATTTCAAATTTTTTTTGTTTCTTTATTGATTTTTAGAGAGACAGGAAGGGAGAGGGAGAGGGAGTTAGAAACATTGATGAGCGAGAACATCGATTGGCCGCCTCCTGCACGCCCCCCACTGGGGATCCGGCCCACAACCTGGGCATGTGCCCTGACCAGGAATCGAACCGGTGACCTCTTGGTGCAGGGTTGACGCTCAACCACTGAACCACACCAGCCGGGCAGAGAAAAAGTGCATTTTTTATTCACTCCAGCTGGGATTGCTGGATCTGTTTTTAGATAATTTTTGAAAATGTAAGCATTCCTTTTCTTTCTTTTTTAGAGGGGAAGGGAGACAAAGATAGAAACATCCACGTGAGAAAGGATCGGCTGCCTCTTGCACACCCCCTACTGGGGATCGAGCCGGTAACCCCAGCATGTGCTGACTGGGAATTGAACCGGAAAAGGACCTTCATGGGACCACGCTTAATCCATTGAGCCACACCGGTCGGGCTGTAAGCATTTATTTTCATACACTGCCCCTTCCCTGTCACACAGGACATCCAACCAGATGAATGGCCCCCGTCCTTTGTGACCCACCTCTATTTCCCCATTTCTCTGTCAGTTCACCAAGTCTCTCTTCAGCGGCAGCTCTGAGAATTTCACCGACCTTTGGTCCACTTCAGTTTTTTTTTGTTGTTTTTTTTTAATCCTCACCCGAGAGCATTTGTTTTTGCATTTATCTTCTACCACCCACACAACCCCAACCAGGGCCGGGGACAAACCGCAACCGGGGTGTGTGCCCTTAGCGGTAACCGAACCCAGGATTCTGGTCCACAGGCCGATGCTCTAACCACTGAGCCAAACCAGCCAGGGTTTAGGTTTTTAATTTCAATTATACATTTGTATTTCTAGTTCTATTTGATCTTTACATTTTATTGGTCACCTTTACAGAATACTATTTTTTTTTTATAGAAGAAGTCATAGACTATTCCTTGTTCACATTTTCAAGGATCTTTTATTTCCTTAGACATATAAAAGTTATTTCATATTCTGATAATTCCAAACATCTGAAATGTCTAGTCTGTGGTTTCTGCTGGGTCTCGCGGTGGTCTGTCCTTGTGTTTGTGAAAATTTGCTCTTAATCTGAAGGTGCTCCTTTTCCTTGGGAGCAGAGGTCCCCCACTCCACAAGCCAGGAATGCTGCTCAGTACCCTTCAGGGTATGGGGCCCTCACATTTCCCCACCCCAAACACCACTGTACACGGCTCAGGGACCTCTCCAGAGATGTTTGCCTGTGCCGGGGGCCTGGCAATGCCAACCAGGGACCTCCTGAAACCTTGTCCTCGCGGCCTCTAGGGCCACACAGCCCACGGATACCACCTGCGTGGAACACCAGGGCCCAGGGAGGCCGCTGTCCTTGTCCCCTTTGTGTAACCAGGTTACCCCTGCAGCCGAAGGGTCTTCAGGTGGCGGGACTCCTGATGACAGTCACCCCAGGGCAGACCTATGTCCAGTCTTCTGCCTCCCAAGTTGACTGGCTGTTTCCACCCACCCTGGAGGGCGGGGGAGGAGCAAGCTGGGTGAAGCAGGACAGGGTGCTCTGGATGGAACAGTATGATGCAAATCCCAGAGGTGGGGGGCGGGCTGCCCCAGCACAGCCCACTACCAGAGGTATGCACGGGCCCACGCCACTGGGGCTGGGGCCTGCCAGGGGACCATGGGAGGGTTAGGAGCAGGAGACTGTGGTTTTCAGTTCTGGAAATGTCACAGTCTGCATTTGGAGAACTGGGGAGCAGAGGGACCCCAGTGAGGGCCTCAGGGTTTGGAGAACTGGTCCTGAAATGAGAGAGGGAGGGGCAAATCCAAGAACTATGAAGAAGGCAGATGAGGTGGTCCTGGTGGGCAGGCCCTCTCCTTGGCTGGCACTGGTCTAACCACTGCACGAGTCTGCCTGGGTGCTGGAGGCCGTACCCTGCCTTCCCAGACCTGCCCCCTCGTGCTCCCTTCCGGGTGGACCTGCCCCAGCCTCTTCCTCAGTCCTGCAGCTCCCCCTTCTCTGAGCAAAATGCTGTCTCCCAGCCCAGACCTGGGGCCAAAGGTGGGGTAGGGGAAGAATATGACAGGCGGGGGTGCATACCTGGTGGGGGTACTAAACCTACCAGGCACCTCATGGCATGTCTGGGATTCCCAGGCTCACCCCCCCCACCCCTGGTGAGGGCCACACTGGAGCCAACTGGTGACCACAGCTTGCCTTGGCCAGGCTGCCTGGTGGGCCCAAGGTCCGGAGCCTGGGCCAGATTGCCCAGGAGAGATGATGGCTAAGCCATGTTGGTTTAGGCTCCAGTCAGTGTGGAGGGGCAAGCAGGGCATCCCCCAACATCATCCATCCCCCAGGGCCCCTGGAACCAGGTCCAGGCAGACCCCCACACCTCGCCAGCCCCGCCCCCTCCATCTGTTCACGCTGAGGGCCAGCCTCACAGTGTTGGTGCCCTGGGTTGAGAGAAGATACTCTTGGGCCCCAGGTCCAGTCAGGGCCGGGCCCTCAGGTGTCCCAGCCACCTCAAGGTCCTCTACTCCCAGCCCCACATGAGATACCCTAGTGGGAGCTTCAGGACCCATGACCAGCGTGCAGGCGATGCCCTCTGCTGGCTGCTGTCAGAAGTGCAGCCTAGCCTGACCAGCACGGTTCACTGGAGACCCCCGAGGGGAGGGGAGCCAGGCCAGCTGTAAACATGAGGCAGGGCTGCCACAAGCCCACTTGCCCAGGGTGCCCGACACCTCGTAAACCCGAGGAGGGGTCCCCACTGTCCACTGACCGTGGTATTAGCAGCTTTAGTCTGTGCCTGCACAATGGAGCCCTGCCCCAGGTCAGCCCCCCAGCCCCAGCCCAGGGTGGGGGGCTGGGGGAGGCTGGGAGAGCCCAGACCAGGAGGAGAAAGGGCTATGTCCAGGCCAGCCGGGTGGCCTTCAGCCTGCGAGGCTGGGATCAAGGGGTGCCCGCCCAGGGCCGGCGTCAGGCTGGGAGCCCGTGTCCGGGTGTTAGATGAAGGTGGAGTCCAGAGGCCCGGTGTCCTGCTGGCTGAGGGCACGGGCCTCAAACAGCTGCTTGATGAGGGCGGATTTCTCCTGCTCCAGCTGTGTGATCCGCTCGCTCTTGTCGGTCACCTCCTGGAAAGGGGGGCGCAGTCAGGGCCTAACAGGCCGCCAGCCACGCCCAGCCCTCCCACACCTCACCTGGGTGAGAAGCCGGTTCTGCTCTTTCAGCATCAGGATGGTCTGCTGCTGCCAGTCGGGTGCTGGAGGCGAGGTGGGGGCCAAGGTGGGGCCCGGGGGCCCCAAGGAGGATGAGGGCACAGCCTACAGGAGGACACAGTCAGGCAGGCCTGGCATCCACGGCTCCACCTCCAGGACAGGGTAGAGGTGGCCGGGGCACTCACCGTGCCGGCACAGGGCAGAGGGTGGCCGGGGCACTCACCGTGCCAGCACAGGCTGCAGCCAGCAGCTCCCCCAGGAACCTGGCCACCTCCTGCACCTTGGGCAGCAGTCGCCCCAGCGGGCGGGGGCTCCCCTCAGCCCCAAAGTCCTAAGACGAAGCAGGGGAGGGGTGGTCAGAGAGCAGGGCCAGCCCAAGGTCAGCCACCATGCCTTGACGGGGTCCCCACAGGTGGCCCTCCTCGCCCCTTGAAGTTACTGCTCAGAGCCGAGAATCCAAGTGGGGGAGCATCACTGTGGGGGGGCTCCCAGCACCCGAGGTGGAGGGACAGCCGCTGTGTCCTGGAGTAGGTGGGTGGTCACTGTAGGGGGGCCCACCTGGGGATGGGCAGCATCACTCACGGTACTGGCCCTGCTCTGGCCCAGGCGGCGCTGGCGCTCCTGCACACGCTGTAGCTGCTGCTGGTACCAGTCGCGGCCCCGAGCCATCATCTGCAGACCCTGCAGCAGCACCTCCTTCTCCTGCTCCAGCTCTGCCATCTGCTTCAGCTGCCGCGCGCGGGGGTGCACACGTGCCAGTGAGCACACACGCGGTGTGGGCCTGCACGCACCTACCCGTAGGCGCGCCTGCAGGTGAGTCCCCACTCGCAGGGAGCACAGCCTTGTTCCTCCTCCCAGGGGGACCCGGCTTCCCCAGGGAACACGGGCCACTGTCTGGAGTTCAGCGCCCCTCGAGGACTGAGCTCCTGAGGACTGAGCAGTGAGCTGGGCCAGTGGGGCAAAGGGAGCCTCGGGCAGCAGGCTGGGCCGGGCAGTTCAGGAGGCCAAGCCTATTGCCACAGCTCACCCAGGCGCCATCTCCCAGAAGGACTTCCCGACCTGACCCTGGGCCATTCCATTCCTCAGGCGGATTCAAGCCTGGGTGGGGAGAGGTGTTTAGAACTGACCCCATTCCTGTCGCAGGCCACCCCTGGGACCCAGGCCTGGCTGTCCCCTCCCCGGCAGAAGGGTGGTCCAGGAGACCAAACACGGGAGCCAAGTCCAATCTTAGGCCAGATGGAGAGAGTCCCAGAGCCCTGGACTCACCAAGTCACAGTCCACCCCATTTGTGATGGTGTGCCTTCGACGTTCGCCCCGGGCACGGGAGGCCCGCCGCGCGTCCCCGCCGCCTGGCTCCCAGGCCCTGCAGGCCGCCGCACCTGCAGGAGTGAGGGCCTGGCTCACCTCCAGGCCTGACTAGTCAGTCTCAACCCCGAAGCCTGGCTTCCAGGCCCTCCCCACAACGCCCTCCCCACCCCTGGCCACACAAAGCTGGGTCCAGGCCTGCACGCCTCTGAGGTCATGAGCAATTCGGAGCCTCTTGGGGCCCCTCCCCATATCAGTCCAGCCCCGGAGTCTGAGGCAGGGGACCAGCCCAGTCCACACCTCACCTGGCTGGGGTCTGGTCCCCACCTGACTCCCACCAGCTCCCCTCACATCTGCCTTGGGCCTGTAACTGCATGTCTGCACATGACACACATGTGTGTACACACATGTGCAGACTGTGAGTTTCCTAAGGGCAAGGGCTTACCCAGCTTGTCTTTGTACCCCTAGTGCCCACCTTGGAGCTCAAAGGCTGCAGGTATGGAGTGAGAAAGGGGGGCCTCTGGTCTTCCCCACTCCTCTCCTTGTAGCTGGGCCTTTAAGGGTAAGTTAGCTCTGGCCAGTTTGCTCAGTGGTTAGAGCGTCGGCCCACAGACCGGAGGACGGTAAGTTAACGCAGGGGACATGTGGAGCCTTGGGTGGCAGAGACCTGACTTCCCCAGGTAGGGATCGCAGTGCAGGCACAGTGCACCCTGCAGGCAGCAAGAGCGTCTGCAGCTCACCCTCCACCTGCAGCCAGTGGGAAAACCAGGTTCCCCCCCCCGCCCCCCTCCCCCCAGAGCCTCCTGGAGGGCCAGCCGCTTCCCTGGGGGACGGGGCCGCATGTGCAGGGCCTCCCGGGGCGGAGGACAGGGGTGCAGGTATGGAGGGCACCCTCCCTTGGCTCCCTAGCACTACCCTCCACACCATGCTCATCTTTAGAAGTCAAGGGAGTAGGAGAGTGATCCAGGTAGTGGGTGCAGGTGTGCCTGTCATGGGCGCGTCCAGAGGGTTGGCACAGGTAGCATGTGGGCCGCCAGCCAGCCCTGGCAGACATGCTCCGAGCAGGCCCAGAGTTCACGTTGCAACCTGCAGTGCTGTGTGGTGGAGAAGGTACAGGCAGAGGGAGGCTGGTGGGAGAGGGACACCCAGAAACCCGGGCCCAGTCTACACTGTCAAGTCCACAGGCAGCTCCCAGGCCCCCACATTAACAGTACACTAGATATCCGGCTGGATGACCAGCAGGCAGAGGCTGGGGCAGGAGTCCAGCGACCCTGGCAAGCAGAGTGCCGCACAGAAAGCGCTAGAACCTGCCCCTTGAGGAAGGTCTCACATCAGCCACAGTGCAGGTCCTACTAGCAGGGAAGGCAGAGGGGCATTCAGCACTCTCCGTCCCTGCCCACTGGACCAAAAGCCAGGCAGGGAGGGCGCTTGCTGGCCAGCCCCAGAGGCTGTGGTCTGTGTTCCTCCCTAGCCCCACAGGCCGGGAAGGCCCACCCATCCCTGGCAACCCGGCCAGGTCCTGCTGCAGCAGCAGCCCCTGACTACCCTGCCTTTGGTGGGGGTAGTGGACCCAACCCTCTTGGCCCAGAGGTCAGACGGAGAAGGATCCAAGGAGACAGAATGGGTCCCTCCACAGCCTAGGGGACCCTTTCTCGTCTGCACTAGAAGGAAATGTCTCCACCTAAGCAGTCACCAGCGATGAAACCGAGGGTCCAGTTGTCCCTAGGTGTAGGGCAGGTCTTCGAGGAGAGAACCCCCTCACACCCAGTGCCCAGCTCATGGTTGGTACAGGAGTTCCTGCTGGCCTCATGCTGTGGTGGGGGAAGGGCTAGCCTGGCTCCTGGCTCCTGAGCACACAGGGACAGGTAGGAGGCCTCTTTCCCGTCCAGGTTCACGAATCCAGGAAGAGCTGCTCGACCCGCCCCCGTGGAAGATGCACGGGCGGCACTTCTCGGGCTCCGGCCTCGGGTACAGGTCGAGGTGGGGAGCTACCAGGCGAGCCGCCCCGCACTCACCAGCGTCCTCGCTCGGGCTCCGCTCCAGCGCCGCGCCCTGCGGCCGCTCGGGCTCCGCGAGGCCGGGCGCCGCCTCCGCCAGGCCGCACAGCTTCTCGAGGCTCCGGGCCGCGCCGCCGGGGCCGGCCGCCGGGGGGCGCGCGCCCAGGGGCAGGGGCTTCCTCTCCAGGACCGTCCGCGGCTCCTCGGCGGGTGTGAACACCAGGCGCTGCGGCGGCAGCGGTGGCGGCTGGCCACCGGACCGGGCCGCGCCGGGTCGCCTCCCCGGGCCAGGGCGCGCGCCGGGCCCCGAGGGCCGCCGTCGGCGCTCACAAGCGAGGTGCGCAGGCCGGCCACGAAGCGCTCGAATCGGTCAGGTAGCCGCTGGCCGGGGCCACCTGGCGCAGGCCCTCCGCACGCCGCGGGGCAGCTCCCGCGCGTCGGCTCCCTGCCAGCGGGACTCGATCTCGCGCAGGTGCACGTAGCCGCGCCGCCGGTCGTCCAGGATGTCGGAGAGGGTGCGCAGGCTCTGCAGGAAGGCGCGCGGCAGCCCCTCGGTGCCGGGCTCCGGAGGCGCGGCGGGAGGCGGGCAGCCCGGCTCGGCCATCGCAGCTCCGGCCATGGGCCTGCCGACCGGGCTCCGTCCAGGGCCCACCCCAGGCTGGGTCCCCGCGCGGCCCGACGGCGGGGCCGGGCCGGCGCGCGCAACCGGTTTCGACAATAGCTGCTAGTTTTTGAATGGGCCTCCTCGTGGCGTCAGTGCTCATTAGCATTCGCGGCGGCCATTGGCCGAGGCTGGCCCATCTCCTCCCCGATTGGCTGAGAGACCGCCGGCCCAGTTTGATTTTCCGGCGGAGGGGCCAGCGCTTCCCCGCGCTCTGGCCGCGGAGCGTGGCGGGGCCGGGGAAGTGCGGGGGCCCAGACCTGGCAGGGGCGGGTCCCCCCACTCCACCTCCCCAGTGGCCTCGCCCGGTGGGGAAAGGAGACCCAAGCGGGCCCCCTTATGCTCCCCAACCCCACCGCACCAACCCTCTCGCCGCGGCTCAGTCCTCTCTCGGATTGGCCGACCCGCCTACCTTTCCGAGGGGCGGGGCCTGGCACCAAATACAAAATCTGTCCCCAGGTGGCCTCGTGGGATAAGGATGGGGAGCACAGCCCCTCTAGAGACCCACCTTCCCCCTCTGGCTCCCCTGGGCGTTCTCCGCTGAGGGTCTCGGGCACAGACATCGCCGACTCTGGGGCCTCTTTCTCTTGCGACAGGCGGGCCCCAAGAGGATTGTGGGCTCCAGCCAGCTGGGCGCTTCCCCTCACAGAGGCCTCTGTGTCCCCACTGCTGCTAGCTCCTCCCCTGGTCCCTAGGGACAGCCTGGCCTTTCCTGCCTCTTGCAGGACAAAGCCACTTTTTCCTGTGTCCCCAGATCCCCATCTGGCGACCAGCTCTCCGCAGCTCCCAAAGTCCTCTGCTCCAGCCTCTTCCTCTTACTGGACACTTCTTCAGCTGCTCTTCTGAGTCTCAGACTTCTCAGGCCAGCTAGGCACCCCTATGCTTCAGGGCCCCTTCTTCCTTCCCAGCCAGATCCAGTCACTCTGTCTGGGCAGCCTCGGTGGGCACCAGCCTGCTGTCCAGCTCTGGGAGCCTGTCTCAGGACTAAATGGTAGGATGCTCCTGAAGTCAGGGAGCTGCCCAAGAGGTCTGCCTGGAACCCCCTGCCTTCACCATTGCCTGTCCTCCAGGCCCTGCCCTGGTCCCATCCCCCACCTCGCCCCACCCCCCAACTTCCCAGACATCCCCATGCCATGAGCATTTGCCACTAAGCAATATTATGTGTCATCTGCTGCTTTCTAGGCAGACTGTGGGTCTTCAGGGATAAACTAGCAAAGAGTCGCCAGTATCCCCTCCACACAGACCCCTGGCACAGGGTTCACCTTGGCACTCTGGCTGGCCTCCCTTGGGTCCAACCTGTCTTGGGTGGACTGCCTAACTGGGCCTCTGTGTCCCTGAGCCCCAAGCATTGGTGCCCTGGCCAGGGAGTGTCTTGGGTCCACTTCTCTCCTGGGGTTACCCCTCAATGTCAGAGCTTCTTTGTGGTAAGGAATTAGGGGGGGGGGCGCATAGAAAGCTGTGAGCCTGGAGCCTGGTCTGCCCCTGGCTTCCCCTTTAGTGGCAGGACCAGCCAAAGTCCCAGGACAGTCATTTGCCTTGCAGTTCACCTCTCCCTCCTGCTCTGCTCCCAGCACCCCACTCCTGGTCCCCCATGCTTAGGGTACCTGGCAACCCCTCACCTCTGGGCCTTTGGGCATGGTGGCTTTCCTACCAGGAATGCCCTTCTCTGTAGCTCCTGGCTGATCGCTGGGCATTTTTCAAATCTCTACTCAGGTACCTGACCCACCCTGAAAGTCAGATTAGATGCCCTGACCTTCAAAGTATAGGGCTGCTCTCTCCTTGCTAAGGCGGTTGTCTCCCCATGAGTCCCTGTACTCTTTGGGAGCAGGGTGGGGCCACCCTAAGGCCTGGCATTGGCCTGGCCCACAGTGACTGTTCAGTGGGTGGCCGGCCAGCATATGGAGAAACTTATCCTATCCTGGAGGTCACAGAGGAAATGCCATCTTTGGGTGGGACACCAAGCCAGGGTGAGGCCTGTGGGACAGGGAGGGCTCAGGACAGTTCTGTGGGATTAGTGTGGTGTGGGTGTGGAGGCTAGCGGCTGGCAGCGGGTGATGCTGCCGCAGCTCAGGATGGCATGGCCAGCAGTGCCCAGGCCCTGCTGGGGCCCATGAGCCCTCTGAGTTCACTGTGTTGAGGAGTCTCACCCTATGTGGGAGGCGCCCCCTGGCCCTTGGTCTGTGGGCTTCCTGGGGGCCCCTGGCTAGGCCCTGGAGGAAGGTACAGAAGAAACTGGAATCGGTGCCAGCTCAGGGCGTGGGACTAAGGTGTGGCCCTGTTCTTTATGCCCTGAACTCTGATCACTTCCCCCTTCCAACCCCCTTTCCAGCCTGGCCCGACAATTTTCCAACTCTATAGCTTTTTTTTTTTTCTTCTTTTCTTTATTGATTCTAGAGAGAGAAAGGGAGAGGAAGAGAGAGAGAGAAACATTGATGAGAGAGAACATCAATGGTCCGCCTCCTGCATGGCCCTCACTGGGGATTGGGCCCACAACCTGGGCATGTGCCCTGATCGGGAATTGAACCAGCGACCTCTTGGTGCAGGGTCGACGCTCAATCACTGAGCCACACTGGCCGGGCCCAACTCTATAGCTTTCAACTTTGCTGTCACCCTGGGGGCTCCTCAGAGCCCCAGGCCAGGTGGGTCCCCAGCGGATCCTGCACTTTGCAAGGCCCCCATCCCAGTTGTAATTATGTTCTCGCTGTGCCAGCCTGGAGCTCCCTGGAGGTGGGCAGGGGGACTGGGCCCTTCTGTCCCCTGTCTAGCACTGGGCATGGAGTGAAAGCAGGCAGCTCCCTCTCAGTCCTTGAGTCTGTCCCAGAGTTCTCTGGTCTCTACTTCTGCAGTGACAACCAGGGACCTGTGGTGGCCTCTGGACCCTGCTCCACTGAACCCTTTGGATGAGGCCCACGGGCAAAGGGAAGGTGACTCCTTGGTCACAAACCTGCCCTTGGCAGGTAGTTCAGGAGGTTATTGCCCACCTCTGCCTCACTGGCATGCCCACCTGTCTGCACCCCTGTCTGCCCGGGTGGGTCAGGTCCTTTTCTCGTGGCCCTGCAGGTACCTCTGGCTACACAGTCCCCATTGTCCAAACCCTTCTGCTCTCAGGCCCATTCCCACCTCGAGGCAGGATTCAGGGGTTGCCCTGACCAAGACAGGCCCTGAGTTCATGTTCTGACACCTGGCTTCAAGGGCATATGTGCAGGCAGGGGTGATAAGAGTTTCCATGGATTCCTGGGGTGTGGAGGCTGTTCTGCTCCCATACACACCCTCCACTGCCAACCTCTGCCCCAAACTGCCTTCAACTACCACAAACTATTGGAGCAGACCATTCATTCATTCACTCTTTCAGCAAGCAGTCCCTGAACCCTTGCTGTGGTCTGGTCACTGTGTTAGGCTTGAAACCTGACATTCATTCATTCAGTCAGCAAACACTAAGTGCCTCCTGTGTGCTGGCATAGATCTACAGTGATGGGCAGGGGGGTGAGCCAACCACATCCCTCTCTCCTGGACTTTACTTCTGGGTGGCAGGGTGGGGGCAGGCAGCAGAGAATGCACAAAGGCAGGAAGGAACAGAGAAGGATGGGAGGGTGCCCTCTGAGCTAACATGACTTGAGACGGTCTCTGAAAGGTGACATGTGACCAGAGACCTGGCAAAGCCCTTGGTCTAAGGGCTTTCTGGGGTCCCCTGGCTAGGCCCTGGAGGAAGGTACAGAAGAAACTGGAATTGGTGCCAGCTCAGGGTGTGGGACTAAGGTGTGGCCCCTGTTCTTTATGCCCTGAACTCTGATCACTTCCCCCTTCCAGCCCCCTTTCTAGCCTGGCCCGACAATTTTCCAGCTCTGTAGCTTGCTTTCTTTCTTTCTTTCTTTCTTTCTTTTAATTTTTTTTTCTTTATTGATTTTAGAGAGAGAGGGCAAGAGATAGAAACATCAAGGAAAAAGAACATCGATTGGTCGCCTCCTACATGTCCCCCACTAGGGATCAGGCCCACAACCTGGGCATGTGCCCTGACCAGGAATTGAACTGGTGACCTCTTGGTACATGGGTCAATGCTCAACCACTGAGCCACCCCAGCTGAGCTCTTTTCCTTTCTTTCTTTCTTTTTTTTCTTTATTGATTCTAGAGAGAGGAAGGGAGAGGGAGAGAGAGATAGAAACATTGATGAGAGAGAACATTGATTGGCTACCTCCTGCATGCCCCCCACTAAGGATTAAGCCCACAACCTGGGCATGTGCCCTGATCAGAAATGGAATCTGCGACCTCTTGGTGCAGGGGTCCACGCTCAGCCACTGAGCCACAACTTTGTGGGGAAGAGTTGTCCAGGTTAAAAGGAACAGCAAGTGCAAAGGCCTTGGCAGGTCTAAGACAGTCCTTGGAAAGAGGACTCCTTTTAGGCCCACAGAACGTACAGTTGGCACCCAAGGGGGCTGTGACGCTCCGCCTCCTCACCCAGAAAGGGTGTGTGGAGGGGAGAGGTCCGGTGTGCAGAACCTGTGTGCCAGGAGACACAATTGCCTCAACAGACCCAGCCTCCCCCTCGGTCGAGCGCCCCCGCCCCGGGCAGTGGGCAGGGGGTGTATTAGAACCTGCGGGGAAGGGCTCCTGGACTCGAGGCGCCACGACCCCTACACTTCCCACGTTGCTGGCGCCGGGGTCTGACTCGGCAGGCTGCGGCGGGCGCAACCCCGGAGGTCGGCCAGGAGCTCGGGGGACGGGGGCGGGGCGCTGGGGCTGGCCCCGCCCACCGGGTCCCGTGACGCCGGTGGGGCCGCGCGGGTCACGAGTGCCAACTCGGCGGGCGGCGGCGGCGACATGGCTTCGGAGCAGGAGGTGCGCGCCCGGCTCCGGCGCGCCGGCCAGGAGCACCTCCTGCGCTTCTGCGCGGAGTTGGCGCCGGGACCGCGCGCCGCGCTGCTGACCGAGCTGGAGCCGCTGGAGCCCGAGGCGCTGCGCGAGCACTGCCAGCGCGCGGCCGCGGCCTGTGCGCGCCCCCCGGGCCCGCCGCCCGACCTGGCCGCGCGCCTGCGGCCCCTGCCCCCCGAGCGCGTGGGCAGCGTCATCCGGAGCGACCCCGAGGCGCGGCGGCTCTGGGAGCAGGAAGGTAGGCGGGGTTCTGGCCGCGGGGCGCCCCTGGCCGGCAGAAGGGAGCCTTGCCCCCAGAGAAGGCTGAGAGGAGAGGTTGTTCTTGTGGAAGTTTAGTGAAGTCTCCTTCCCCCATCACGTGCACTAGCTTGTGACTCCAGTGGGGAGCCCCCCAAACGCTGCGGAGCTGGCAGCCGCCCCACCCGCATTCCCCTGGAGAGTGCCTTGTGCATAAGCACACCTGGTTGCCCAGTGCCCAGCCCACAGGCTTATTGGCAGTAGGGGACCCCCTTGCACATGCTCCTTTTCTTTTTCAAAACTTGATTTTGGAGAGAGAGGAAGGGAGAGAAAGAAATATCAATGAGAGAGACCATCCATTGGCCACCTCCTGCATGTCCCCCTCTGGGGACTGGGCCACAACCTGGGCATATGCCCTGACCGGGAATTGAACTGGCGACCTCTTGGTGCGTGGGTGGATGCTCAACCACTGAGCCACACCCGCCGGGCTGCACACACTGCTTTTCACACTAGCATTGGTGCAGGTGCCCTCCTGGCCTCTTGGCCTGGTGGTGAGGCAGGTGCTCCTGGAGAGGAGCCTGCCCAGCTGTCCCCCACCCCTAAGGTTGGGGGGGGGGGGCGCAGCAAAGCTGATCAGTCAAACCCCATGTTTCCTCTGAAGGATCCAGGATGGGAATGAACCCAGGAGGACATCATCAGAACCTCTAAAGTGTCAGGGCAAGGATAGGTTTGGGTGGGGTCTTGACCCAGATGAGATTAGAATGTCACTGGAAATTTCTGTCTGGTGGCTATCAGTAGTCTGAGTCCTGGACACAAGCTTGGCTGGCTCTGAAGTGAAGGGGTGGTAGTGTGGCAGGTCCCAGGCGGCTCCTCATGGCACCCCATGCCTCCAGGTTTCCACCAGATCGCCCTGAACAAGGTGGCCGTGCTGCTGCTGGCTGGTGGGCAAGGCACTCGTCTGGGTGTGACCTACCCCAAGGGCATGTATCAGGTGGGGCTGCCCAGCCAGAAGACCCTGTATCAGCTGCAGGCAGAACGGATTCGGCGGGTGGAGCAGCTGGCTGGCGAGCATCATGGGACCCACTGCACAGTGCCCTGGTATGCCCTCTCTGCATGACCTTGGCCCCAGTGTAATCCCCATGTAGCCCCAGCTCTGCCCCACACCAAGACCTGAATCCCAACCCCGGCACAGCCCTGGACAGAGCCCAGCATCCGCCCAGACAGGCCTGACACTCTGGATCCTGATGCCAGCCCCTGTTGGAGCCAGGCCCTCCTCAAGGCCAGCTCTGCCTGACCTCCCCTGGCAGGTACATCATGACCAGTGAGTTCACGCTGGGGCCCACAGCCGAGTTCTTTAAGGAGCATGACTTCTTTCATCTGGACCCCAACAACGTGGTCATGTTTGAGCAGCGCATGCTGCCTGCTGTGACCTTCGATGGCAAGGCCATCCTGGAGCGGAAAGACAAGGTTGCCATGGCCCCAGGTATGCCCACCCCTGGCCTAGAATGCAGAGCTAGCTAGGGGGCAGGAGGCTTGGGATAGAGGCTGGAATGTGCTGCCTGGAGGCTGTGTGAGTCAAGAGAGTGGCTTCCCCTGTCTGGGCCTCTTTCATCTGCCGGTGGGGCATACCTAACCATAGGACTACTTGGATAGTGAGAGAGCGGCCTCTGGCACAACGAGGTCCAACCGCGAGGGGCCTCCCACCTGGACAGCCGGCTAAGGCCAGGCTGGCGCCCCCACAAGGCACGCCCCATTCTCCCTCTGCAGACGGCAACGGGGGCCTGTACCGAGCGCTGGCGGACCACCGGATCTTAGAGGACATGGAGCGCCGAGGCGTGGAGTTTGTGCACGTGTACTGTGTGGACAACATCCTGGTGCGGATGGCGGACCCCCTCTTCATCGGCTTCTGCGTGCTGCACGGCGCGGACTGTGGCGCCAAGGTGAGCCCGCTGGCCGCCCCCGCCGCGCCCCGCCCATCCTCATCCCCGCCCCCGACGGCATTGCCCCTCCCCCGACGGCATTGCCCCGCCCCCAGCTCGAAGTGCCCCGCCTACCCAGCCTTCCCAGCCCCTCTGTCCTGGCTCCAGGTGGTGGAGAAGGCATACCCTGAGGAGCCAGTGGGCGTGGTGTGCCAGGTGGACGGCGTCCCCCAGGTGGTGGAGTACAGTGAGATCAGCCCCGAGACCGTGCGCCTTCGCGCGCCCGACGGGGGTCTGCTCTACAACGCAGGCAACATCTGCAACCACTTCTTCACGCGGAGCTTCCTCCAGGTGGTCACCAGGTGTGCGATGGGTGGAGGCTGACCTGGCGAGGGTGGAGCTGTGCTTGGGAGCTGGCCGGTGAGGTGGGGTGGAGAAGAGTTCTTGGCCTTTAAGGAAGACAGAGGCCCCAGGGAAGCCGGACAGCTGGTGCGGGGCTCTGCGGCCAGGTTGGCCTGTGTCTCCTGTGCCATTTCACCGGGGCAGGGGTGATGGTGGGGCTAGGGGTGCGGGAGGGTGCCTGTGCCCTCCGAGACCCAGCTCAGCTCCCACCTGGCTGGGCCCCCTCGGGTATTTTGTCTGGACTACATCTTTCCTCTTCTCCTCCGTCCCCGTAGGCAGTTTGAGCCCTTGCTGAAGCCACACGTGGCTGTGAAGAAGGTCCCGCACGTGGATGAGGAGGGGAATCTGGTAAAACCGCTAGAACCGAACGGGATAAAGATGGAGAAGTTCGTGTTTGATGTGTTCCAGTTTGCTGAGTTAGTGGCAGAACCCATTTACTTTTTCCATTTTCCCTTCTGTTCTGGTGGTGGGTTCTGAGGCCCAGTCGGGCAGGGACGTGGAGGCTAGATGGGGGCACAGAGTGGGGGGCTGCAGGCAGGTCTCCGGGAGAAGGCCAGAGGAAGCAGCCCCCTGAGGGTGAAAGTATAGGGAACATCAGGGGCTAGGGACTTCGTGGGGACACCTGGCTCCTCCTGAGCCCTCCATCTGCAGTGTCCAGGCCATGGTACTGGGGACTCCCCCAGGGTGTTTAGCCCTCACTCTGGGTCCCAGGTCTGGGGTCTGACTGGTGGCAGTTGAGGGAGGAACTCTGTGGAGCCCTTCCTAGGCCTGCTGCTTGTGAGACAGGACATTCACCTGCCCAAGACCAGGGCCTGTGGGCCAAGACATCGGGTCACCAGTTCTTTCCCCACCAGGAACTTTGTGGCCTTTGAGGTGCTGCGGAAGGAAGAGTTCTCCCCTCTGAAGAATGCTGACTCAGCGGACAAGGACAACCCCACCACGGCCCGGCGGGCCCTGCTCACCCAGCATTACCGCTGGGCCCTGCAGGCGGGGGCCCACTTCGTGGATGTGCATGGGGCCCGGCTTCCCGACCTGGCCAGGTGAGTGTGGGCTCCAGGGTGCTGCTCGCTCTGCTGCTGTCTGACAGGTGCGGTGTGTCCATCTCAGCCACACAGTGGCTGCCACTGCAGCCTTGTGACCCAGCCCCTCAAGGTCCACTCAGGGCCCTGGGGAAGGTGGGGGATGCAGCCTTCCTGGGCTCATTCATGAGCTTTGAAACTGAGACCCAGGCAGGACATTCAGAAAACAGCTAGGGAGGTCACTTTTCTGGGCCAGGAAAGAAAAGGACAATGGGTTTCCACTTCTTCAGCTGTCCGCAGTCATCACCTAAATCTGGCAGTCCAGGTCTACGAGACAGGCGGGGGCAGTTTGCTCAGGGCTCTGGGTGTCCAGATGGAGAGATTACCGAGAAAAGGACTGTGGGAAGCTGGGTGTATGGTGGTCAGTCGTCTGGGCCACAGAGGGACTGGACTGCTCCTATGATGGGTGGTGCGGGGGAGGGGGGCTTGGGGTATGCATCCCCGAGCGGATGCTGACAAGTGGGTTCCTCAGCCTGCCCAGCACTGGAGAGCCTCCGGCCGTGTGTGAGATCTCACCATTGGTGTCCTACTCTGGAGAGGTGAGAGCCGCCTGGCCGTCTGGGGTATTCTGGGGTGAGGCCTGCGTAATCGGAGGGAGACATCTGGGGAGAGGCGGGTGCTTGGCTGGAAAATCATGGCTCTGCCTCATTTTACCAATGGGGTAAATGGGTCCTTGAGTTGCAAAGGACCTTCTGGGACGTGGGGTGGGGTGAGCTCCTCAAAGCTCCTGGGAGGGGCGGGAAGGCCAAGCCAGCTCAGCCTTACTGAGGGAAGAATGTGGGCTGTTCCCCTCTGGATAGGTTGTGGCCTGACCCTGCTGTGCTGGGAGGGCTCATGCTGGCCTCAGTCTTGAGGTGACTTTTGACCCTTGTTTCTGGAAGCCCCTTCTCAGCTCCAGGCAGAATTGGGACCCCCACCTGGGCCCATGAAGTGGACACTTGGTTTGTTTCCAGGGTCTGGAAGTGTACCTGCAAGGCCGCGAGTTCCAGTCCCCACTCATCCTGGACGAGAACCAGGTCAGGGCACTGCAGCCCTGACTGGCTCCCAGACCTGGTAGCCCTGGGGTCCGCAGGAGTGTGGATGTGGTCCTGACCCAGGGCTCCGGGTAGGAACCCAGGCGGCTGTGCCTTTCTGGACCATGGGACACAGAAGGAAGAGCCCTGGTTCACGAGAGGGGGACCTATCCTGTCACTGGATCCCATAGACACAAGTGATTGCAGGCCTTCTGTGGGCCAGTGAGAACTCCAGCACCAATATTGGCTGTGGGGTCCAGGTGGGAGGCAGAGGGACTCTGGACCTTGGACGGTGGGGCTGAAGGAGCTGCGGCATCATCGAATACGAGCAGCGGCGCTGCCTGTGAGCTGACATAGGACAACGGCTTCTCTGGGGAATACCAGCCACACCCAGCTTTTCTACAGATGTAACAGATCAGATGAGAGGCGGGGGCGCTGTCCTTCCCTCACAGGGTGACTTCTTTAGAGGGGACTGCCCCCTCCCTCCCTGGCAGCTGACCCAGCAACTGGGATGAGGCTGGGGGGTCACAGCCCAGCCTGCTGGCTGAGCTGACAGCAGAAGGGGCCTGATTCATCACCATAAAGAGCTAGCTTCACCAGGGAGAGAAGCTCGGTCTGCACACCTAAGACTGAATTCTTTCCATTCTCTTTGAGGCCTCAGCCCTGTCATGTCTGCGGCTGGCTTAGGCTGCTGTTTTAGGTGCTTCTTCCAAGAACTAGCGGGACCAGTATGCGTGGCCGCCTCAGGTGGTCATTAATCTGGAATTTAACTAGATGGGGAGTGCCATCCGTCATCCAGACTACCAGTAGCTTCTGATCATGGTGCTCACACTCCTCCCCTGCTGTATGGAGTGGCAGGGGCACCCTTCCTGCACCCCTGCAGCCTGGCCGAGGCTGCAGGAAGCCAGCTGGTCCTGGTCTCTTGTCCCGGCTTTGCTGCTCTGGGCCCCAGTGCCTCCTTCCCCTCTGGACACAGCACAGGGGCATCTACCTCCCTGCCGATGTGAGGAGCAGCACGCAGTGCAGCCTGCTGCTAAACTGCACCTCCGCTTGTCTGCCTGCAGGGGAGCCATGGCTTCCCCAGGGCAAGAATGTTATCAGTGATGGGTGCAGGTGCAGCTGATTTCTCCTCCAGTGGCTTGAATGGCACAGTGGCTTCATCTACACATCTCGATCTGGGCACAATGGCAGAATAACAGCCATGCCCAGGCCTCCCAGTCTCTTGCAAACCTCAAAATCAAACCATGTGCCTTAGGATCCTCTTCTCTGCTGCTCTGCAGACCAGCTGGGGGCCTAGGGTAGAAGAGGGTCTACCCAGGTGGAGGCCCAGGTCCAGGGTCGTGCCCCGAGCTGCTCCTCACTACCACAACTGGGACACTGTGCAGTCTCTCCAAGTAGAGTTTGCTGGGAAAACTATTGAAACAGCTCACTTAAAGAAACAACTTATTTTCAAATAATTATACCTTCATGTAAAGTTTCAAACAGCACAGAGGTCCCAGGTACCCTTCACCGAGTTTCCTGCCACCTTTATACCCCTGCCCCATCTCTAACCCCAGAAAAAACAGTGTTTGAAAGATTGCCAAACTTGATTTTCCATACAAGGTGGGGGGGGTTACCAATAAACACCACACGCTGTGGTTGATTCCTTTGCCTGGAGAATGCAGTCTTTGACCAGTGTGTGTAGTGGGAACAGCACCAGATGTTCACAACTCTGTCCAGCAAGGGCGGGAGCTCACACACAGCCGAACCTGCTCTGGGCTGACCAGGGAGCTCCTCCCGCTTGCTCTGCCCAGCTCCCTACCAGGCTGGGGGGGGGGGGGCTGCAACAACCTAGTGGGTCAGACACCCTGCAGATGGACCCAGAACCCACCCCTTGAACCAACTCTCCAGGGTGGGCTCCTGCATGCTCAGGTCTGACAGCCTGGTGGCGCCCTCCTGCACTCGCACCCTCCGGACGCCACCGTTTCCCTGGTAACCCATCTGCAGGGATGCATGAGGACGTCGCTGGACTAGGCACAAAGCTGTGTGTGGGATGAGGCCTGAGAGATGGTCCCTAGAAGAGAAAGCGGGTAGGAGGGCAGCAGGAGCTCCCGGGGGCAGGCTCAAAGGAGCCAGGTGCCCAGCAGGCGGCGCACACGGTGGGGGGCCCTGCAGACACCCAGACTTCAGGCAGGGCTGCCGGGAGCACGGCGCCGGCCCTGAGCAGAGCAGGTCCCGGAGGCACCGGGCAGCTCTGCTACGAGCGGAGTGCATGCCCGGCCAGGTGCAGGAACCGCGGTGCGCCCCCAAAACCAGCAGGTCCCACGGATGGAAACCCTGCGGGAGATCGCAGTGACAATGACGGATCCAGGTGGCCGCACCAACAAGGCAAAGCGGCCGGCCAGTCCTCCTTTACCACAGGACTTGGGGCGGCCGGGATGGGGTGCAGACAGGCTCCGCGACAGGGAAGCCCGGGGACAGCGTGCCCTGAGGGGCAGCCCAGCTCTCTTAGCAGGCAAAGCCACGCCCACATTCGGGCGTGATGTGAGCAGGCGCGGGACGTCGCCAACGGAACGGGTGTGAGGTCACCGCGCAGGCGCGGGAGCGACGACGGCAGGTGCCGTAAAACGTAGGCCTGCTCGGAGGAACGCAGAAGTTGGGCGCACGCGCAGTAGGGTTAAGAGGGCGCGGCGCACGCGCATTGGCGGCGAGGGCGATGGGCGGGGTGTTGCCGGAGCTGCGATGGCTGCTCGCGGGTGTTCGAAGAACCGAGCTTCAAGACCCTCAAATAGACCGGCTTCTTGACGCCACCGGTGGGCGGGGTCCCCCTGGCCGCCTCCGCCGCTGTCATGTATCCGTCAGCGCCGTCCGCGCCGCATCGGGACTTCATCTCGGTGACGCTGAGCCTTGGCCAGAGCGACGACGGCAGCAAAACCCTGCGGCGCCGCTCCTGCTGGCGGGTGAGGGTTGGGCCCGCGGGCCCGGGGCCTCCGCCCCGCGCGCCGCCGGGGCCGGAGGCGCAACGCTGGGAGGAGGCACAGGTCCCGGCGGCAGTGTCCGCGGGCCGGGCTCTGCGGCGTGGGGGAAGGGCGCCTGGCGCGGGAGCACGCGCCCCCCGCGGGTCCCCGGGCGGCCTCGCCTTCTCCGTCCCTACGGAAACCTGAGGTTCCCCGGATGAGCTCTCCCCCGGGGTCGGAGCAAGAGCTCGGCCGGTTTAACCCCCGGTGCGTCCCCGGCGGTCTCGGGCCGCGCAGCGCCCACAGGTGGCTTCTGAGCAGGTGCAGGTCCCGCGGGGACTGAGCCCCAGCGGCGCGTTGCAGCGTGTTTCTCCGCGGCTCACGTCCCGGGACAGAGCGGACTCCACGCCCGTGTTCACCCTCATCTTCCCTGTCCAAGTGCATCCCGTCACCGGCACTGCCGGCCCAGCCAAAGGAACTGCCCCCGTTCAGAAGCGAGAGACCTGCACACGGGACCTGCCGAGTGTCTCCCTGTCCTCACGGAGGCGGCCCCGGGGGAAGAGATTTCTAGCTGTGTTCTTGTCAGTAAAGACTGTTCCTCTCCGCCCTCCCTTAGAGATGGAAGCAGCTGTCGAGGTTACAGAGGAACGTGATTCTCTTCATCCTGGCCTTTCTGATGCTCTGTGGGCTCCTGCTCTACATCAGCGTGGCCGACCCGTGGAAAGGTACCAGCTCCCCCAGCGCCCAGGCCCCGGGGTGGACTAGCAGGAGCCATCGGGCAGTCCCCCTGAACAGGTCCAGGAGCGGGAGAGGGCAAGGAATGGGCCAGGAAAGCAGGTGGAAAGGGGCGTGGAGTGCCCCGCACCCCCGTCACGGGAACACGGGCGTGGACGTGTTTCCTGCCAGCCTGCCAGTGTGCCGTGGGGTCGGCCGGTCCGTGCCCTGCTCTGAGGCTGAAGCTCGCTCTAAGCACATGGCGTGAATTCCTAACTCCCACGCCTCAGTGTTCGGAGAGGACGGGCCGAGAGCTGGCGAGGGCGCGGAGAGGCTCTGAACTCCTCTGAGCTGGCTGATAGGAGGAGGAGAGCTGACAAGCCGCTGCGGGTGGCTGGGGGACCTCCTGGAGTGGACGTCACGGTGAAGTGTTTGGGGTGGTGAATGGGAACGAGCACAGACGACGACCTTGGAGAAGGCTGGGTTCCCTGGCCACTGTTGAGTGCAGTTTGGTGACGCCCTTGAGGACTGAGGGCGTCCTTTGTAAGAGCAGCGAGCGCCTGTCTAGGTGACCCCTAGAAGCACGCTGGTGTCCTCGCAGCCAGGTGGACGCTGAGTGAGAGGTTCTCTTGTCAGCCCCGAACGACAGGGCAGCGGGAGAGCAGGTGCCGAGGCCAGTAAACCCGCCGGTCCTGCCAGCTCCTCAGAAGGCAGACGCTGACCCAGGACACGGCCCGGGGCTGTCACCTCAGGTACGTTCCGAGTTACGGTGGGTTGGAAGCGGCCCGGGTGCAGAAGCGTCAGCACAGTATGTGAGATTCAAACCAGTTGGGAGAACGCTTTCCCTGGCCGTCTGATGGTGTCTCGACCTCACTTGTAGGCTGGTTGGACACGGAGGGAAGGAAGGAAGGAGGAATCTTCCTTCCTTTGTTGTTGTTGCTTACGTGCTGCGCTCTGGATCCCGGGCCAGGTGGTGAACAGAACAGACTGTCCTCTCCCGGACAGCAGGCTGGGGGGAGAGGCAGGTGAGCTGCAGGGGCAGGCAGGTGGCCCACAGGCGCGCCCTGCAAGGACGAGAGCAGACACCTGCAGAGAGAGGCCAGGCCTGGGTCAGGGCAGCCTCTCTGAGGGCGGCACACTGGGCAGCAGTTTGAAGGCTGAGGAGCCCCTGGGTCTGGGTAGAGCCGGAGCAGGGTCTGACCCAGGGAGCTGCCCGAGGCAGGGAGCTCGGCTTGTTCGTGGAGCTGAAATCCAGCAGGGCCCGGATGGGGAAGCAGTCAGGATTAGAGTCTGGATATGGGAGACAGGTGTGCGAGGCCCCAGGTGTGGGGTCCTGGTCCTCTAGGAAGGGGGCAAGAGGAGCCTGTGGGGTTCTGGGGTGACCCCACCTTTACAGTTGGTGTGGGGACCAGGGCAGGGCCATGGAGACGAGAACCGGTCAGAAAGCCAGGGACGGCCCCTCTGAGACTGGCGGTTCTGAGGACACGGTGCTGTGCACCTGGGACGCCCTCTGGGCTGGTCAGGGAGAGGATCTGCGCCAGGTGCTGGCCTCCCCCTGCAGCACCGCCCAGGGACCGAAGGGAGGCCCCTCTCCAGCCCCACGAGTGTGCACAGAGCGCGGCTCCTCCCGGTGACGCTCAGGCATTTCTTCCATGGCTCGTGGCTGCTCCTTACTGGGACTCTCTGACTCATACAATGGCCCTGTCCTGTCCGGGGAGGTGTCTGGACACACCCGCCATGGAGGACTGGCAGCAAGATGATGCGGAACTCTGTCCTCAGCACCGTGCCTGAGCCCCGCCCGTGGTCACTAGACCTGGTGCCTTTGCCACACGGATTGAGGATAAAGCGGGAGGCCCGTGTCCGGCCTGCAACAGGGGTCTCTGCCGCTTCATTCATTGGGTGCCTCGAACCCCTTTGTGCCCCCTTAGGGCCTGTGACAGCCTGAGCTGTCCTGGGCCGGGTTTAACCTGCACCCAGGGCTTACTAGACTGCGTTAGAGTCTGTACCAGGTTGGTCGGGGCCAGAAGACATGAAAGGTGCTTCCCCAAATCTGCATATCACAGTGAGCATGAGAAGAATTCGGCTCACACACAACACTGGGGTCTGGTCTGATGGGGAGAGTCCCAGGTGGACACGAAATGGCAGCCCATAGGCACTAAATTGTCCTCCCGTGTGACTCTTCCGTTTGTCTAGAAGCCTCCAAGGCATGTGCGGCGGGGACCCCCCAACCTGCAGATCAGAGCCCCCAGTAAACACCGGGAGGACAGGAGTCAGGATGACACCAAGCAGCGGGAAGAGGCGCTGGCCACGGCTCACCAGGACGAAGTCCCGCAGAGAACGGTGGTCAGGTACCGGGGGCAGCAAGGCGGGGCTGATGTGGGGGAGCGCAGAGGCCTCCCGCGTGGTCTCCTGAAAACCGAGCAGAAAGAGGAGGCGCGTGTGGCAGGCGTCTGTGTGTCTGTCTGCCTCCCTTCGGAAGCAGGCCATTCCTGCCTCTCCTGAGCGCCCCGGGTGGGCACCCGCCTCCTGGTTGTGCGGTGCAGAGGGCGAGGCCGAGCCCAGCTGGGCGGCCACCGCGGGACTGCGTCTGTGCCCGTGCCGATGGCCCCTCTCTCCCTGCAGCTGGCGGGGAGCAGTGATCGAGCCGGAGCAAGGCACCCAAGTCCCTTCCAGAAAGGCAGACGCTCCCACCAGGCCGTCCCGGGAGGCCCCCAGCCTTCAGAACCAAGCAGGTGCGGCCCCCTCTCCACCCCGGGCCCCTGGGTATCCTGCGGGAGAGGACGTGCGGACGTGCAGATGAGTGGTCAGGACGTGGGTGGGTGCTGCCTCTTCCTCTGAGGCCGGTCATCCTTTAGCACCCAGGTGGCCCAGTCCTTGGGGTCGCACAGCCTTCAGAGCTTCAGCGACTGCAAGTGGCTTTTATTCTTATCCTTACCTGAGGACATTTTTCCATTTTTGTTCAGCTGGAGGGGAGAGAGAGAGAAACGTCTATGTGAACGGGACACATTGAGTGGCTGCCACCCTCATGACCCCAGGCAGGGTTGGGGACAAACTGAGGTATGTGCCCTGGACTGGAATTGAACCTGTGACTCATTGGTCTGCAGGCCAGCGCTTTTACCACCGAGCCAAACTGGCCAGGGCACAGGTGGTTTTTTGACACCATCGTTCCATGTCTAGGGCCGGGGTCACGGGAATGCAGTGCGTGTGTGGGTGGCTTGTTTTTTTGCCCATGTCTGGTTTAAAGTGGCTTGGGCTAGCCCTGGCCAGTTTGGCTCAGCGGTTAGAGCGTCGGCCTGCAGTACAGAGAGACCCGGGTTCGGTTCCCGCTAAGGGCATGTACCTCGGTTGCAGTTTGTCCCCGGCCCTGGTTGGTCGTGCGGGTGGCAGCCACTCGATGTGTCCCTTCATGTCGATGTTTCTCACTCTCTCTCCCTTCCTCTCTCTCCCTCCCACTCTATCTGTACAAAAAATGGAAAAAATATTCTCGGGTGAGGATAAAAAAATAAATAAATAAATAAAGTGGCTTGGGCTATGGAGACCCAGCTGCCCCTAGGCATCTGCCCAGGGCCTGAGGGACAGTGTGGTGGCTGGGTGGGTCTCTGTATTCGGGCCCCAGGCATCCGAGACCTGCTGGGCGGTGATACTTCAGTGAAGGAGGATTGGGAGCCCAGAGTTGGGGCTGGTGGCTGGTCCTGTGGGAGCACAGGTCACTGGCCTTAAGGGTTGGCAGTGCTGTGGGTGTCACCATGGGAGGCTTCCAGCCCCACTGGGAGACGTGGTGTGATATTAGTATCATGGTTTCGTGGACACGGTGCCCTGTGTGGCCCTGCATGTGCGGAGAGTAGATGAGCTGGAAAGTACCGTGTCCTGTCTGCCCCCGGGTCTCCTTTTGGATGAAAGACGCCAGGCTTGGGCCCCTGAGAGACGAGGTGGTCCGGTTCTCATCACTAGCACCTGTCAGAGTTGATACTTCCAAGCCGAGTTGCTAATGCAGCCAGTGTGTGTGTCACTGGTCCATGGTCTCAAATGGCTCTGCTCACTGAGTGCTCCCTGTGGCCCTGGCGGAGTGGATGGGCCCAGCTGGGAGAGGTGAGTCCAAGCTGTCTGGTAAAGCCCCCAGGGCCTTGCCACCTCAACAGCTGTATCTAGCTTTGAGGGTTCATCTCCAGGACTGTGCCTGGACCTTCATGCTGTCCACTGCGGCCCTATGGCCCTGTGGTCCTGGACAGTGTTCCTCGGGTCATCAACGTCCCTGCTTGGGGGCCACAGAGGGGTTCTGCCCTCCCTGACCAGGTCCAGGTCTCCCTGACCCACTTCTCTCCCTCCAGCCTCCCTGAACGAGCGCCAGAAGGCCGTGATAGATGCCTTCCGCCATGCGTGGGCCGGGTATCGCAAGTTTGCCTGGGGCCACGACGAGCTGAAGCCTGTGTCCAGGTCCTTCAGTGAGTGGTTCGGCCTCGGCCTCACGCTCATCGACTCCCTGGACACCATGTGGATTTTGGGTCTAAAGAAAGGTACCTGTCCTTCTGCAGCACACGGCCGAGCTCGGGTGTGGCACGTGGGCAAGTGAGCGAGCCATGCCCGGGAGATCCCTTCTCTGGGCAGCAGGAGTGGACATGTGGCTGTGGGGACTTCCTCTGCCACTTCAGGTCCAGGTGTCCAGGGGACACTCAGGACAGCTGAGCAGACCCTCGGTTGAGAGCCGAGCCTGGACCCTGGGTGGGTGTCCTAAGGCATTTCCAGCCTCGGTTTCTGTTGTAGTCGGGACATGGCCCTGTGGTGGGAGGTGGCACGTAGTCTGATGTAGCTGCCAGTACCCGAAATCTGTCTCTGATGTCCACCTGGTGCTACACAGCATGGGGCAAGCTGGGGTTAGATGCCTTCGGTTATTTTCTCAAATGATGTTTTCTGAAAAGGCTGAACACTGCCACTGAGTTACCACGTGGTCCTTGTACCGTGGCCTCCAACTGTAGACCGCTTGTGCTCACAGCCGAGTGTGGCTTCCCAGCCACTCACTGGCCTGTTTATATTCAGAGTGGTGAGGACTCGGTGTTCACGCCTTTTTATACCCTCAGGAGACAGCTGAACAGGAGCATGCATGTCGCCCCAGAGTCAGGTCCTAGGGGAACACGACCTGTGAGCGTGTCCTCCACCCTCCCTCATTTCATGTAGAATTTGGAGAAGCCAGGAGGTGGGTGTCCGAGAAGCTGCAGTTCCAGAAAGATGTGGACGTCAACCTGTTTGAGAGCACCATCCGGATCCTGGGGGGCCTTCTGAGTGCCTACCACCTGTCTGGGGACGCGCTCTTCCTGCAGAAAGCCGTGAGTGTCCCGGCCCAGGGTCGCCCTCGCCCTCGCATGCTTGAGTCTCCAGGCTCACCCAGTTTTCCTTTGCCCCAGGGATTCTGGGGCGGGGGTGTTTCCACTTTTCCTCGAGTTCATTTGTGTTTCTGGGCATTGACTGAGCGAGCAGCCCGCAGGGACATCGCTGAGACCTGGCGGCTCCAGCCCACTCTGTGGGGGTGGAGGGCGGGGCCTCGTGAGGCCAGCAGGTTTGCGTCTGGCCTTGTGACTGGATGGAAGCGGGTGACAGGTCGCATGGTGACAGGCAGACGTGACCGCTCAGTGACCTCTCGCGGTGTGTCTCAGGAAGATTTCGGGAACCGGCTGATGCCTGCATTCCAAACGCACTCCAAGATTCCGTACTCGGACGTGAACATCGGCACTGGAGTGGCCCACCCGCCCTGGTGGACGTCGGACAGCACGGTGGCTGAGGTGACAAGCATCCAGCTGGAGTTCCGAGAGCTCTCTCGTCTCACAGGGGTCAAGAAATTCCAGGTGCGGGGTCTGGTGTCTGGAGAGTCTCTTTCTCGGCACAGTGGGTGCAGTTGTGTGGACACTGATCCCAGGTCTCCAGGTCGCTGATGCCAGGGCTCAGGCCTGAGAGGCCCCTGCCTGCCCTGGTGCAGCATTTGTCTTCAGGGCCTTGGCAGAGCTGGCGCCTGTCACGCAGGGCTCTGGTGGCCCGTGTCCACCTGGCTGCGTGTCAAAGGCCTTCTTTGTCATGGCTGCATGGGGTGGACATGTTGGCTTGCCAGCATTGTAGCCAGTTTTGTGCTGGTGACATTGTGCTTGTCAACCAACTCCCTCCCGTGGCGCTGCAGTGGCCTGTGGATCGGGTCCCCACGCACTCGTGCACTGGTGAAGCAGCGGTCCTTGTTGAGGTGGGGTGAGAACCTCAGCCTTTGGCTACTTACTCCTGGGATGTCCTCAGCACCCACATGTTGCTGGAGATTTGCGGTATCTGGAGATCCACGAGGAATCATGCACCCTCACCTCGGAGGGAGTGATCAGTCCGGGTGGGTGGACGTGCTGGGCAGAGACCCAGAGAGCACCCTCATGCGGGTCCTGGTCCCTGTGGTAACACGCAGAGCTGTAGGAGCAGATGCATCGTGCTGTCACGTGAGACTGAACTCAGGAGCCGAGGCTGGTTGGGTCTTGATGGATGAGTAGGAGTTCACTAGGTGGAGGAGTTTGGGGCAGTTGATTATTGGCTGCAACCTGGACTCAGAAGTGGACGAGCCTGCTTTCCCTCTAGGCAGTAGAAGCAGTTGGTCATGCTGGGGCAGGTGGTCCTGAAGACTGGCTGTGTCACCTCCTCCACGGCCTCCTGGGCAGACGGGGAGAGGGCACAGTCCCCTGCAGGGGGGCCAGACCTGTCCAGAGGACAAGGTCGGCCCTGTCGTCGGGGCCTGTGGCATCTGCCGGCCCTGAGGCGGCCACGTCTGTGCACAAACTGGGCTGCTGTGCAGCAGGGGGTAGTGGGCCGAGCAAGCAGCAGCCAGGACTCCAGCCGCTGTGCTGCCCGGGGAAAGGATCGGGCAGGGCTGAGCGCATGAAGCCCCGGACTGCTCAGTGCCCTCGCTCACCGCCCTCTCCCCGTCTGCCCAGGAGGCCGTGGAGGAGGTGACACGGCGCGTCCACTCCCTGTCTGGGAAGAAGGACGGGCTGGTGCCCATGTTCATCAACACGCACAGCGGCCTCTTCACCCACGTGGGCGTGTTCACCTTGGGCGCCAGGGCCGACAGCTACTACGAGTACCTGCTGAAGCAGTGGATCCAGGGCGGGCGGCAGGACTCGCGGTGAGGCCGCCTCTGCCGCCTGTCCCAGCTCTGGTCGGGCCTCTGGGCACGCGGTTCCTCAGCACAGCCCTGAGCCTGGTGCTGAGCGGGGTCTGGGTCTGGCTGCAGGGCCCCAGCTCCCTCCTGGTGAGGAGGTAGCGGAGGTAGACCACAGCTCCCCTCTGGAACAAGGCACCAGGACACCTGGTCTCCCTGCACGTGTCACTGGTACTTAACATGACGCTTCCCCAGACAGTGGCACAGCAGACCCTCAGATAAACCCTCGTAAGAGACTGGAACGGCCTGCCATCTGCAGCCCAGGGTTGATGTGATCCGGACCCCTGGGGGGTTGCCACTTCCGGCACCTCCCCTGGGCCGGGGTGAGGCCACCATCAGGGAGCCTGCCTTCCCAGGGCCTCGGGCTAGTTGAAAGAACAGCCCTGTTTGGGTAGCAGAAGGCACTGCCCTGGCTTTGCGGGCTGACCCGCCACAAGCCTCCACCCCCAGGCTGGCTCCTGCCACCCAGACAGGGTCAGGCCTCACAGCCGTTAGTGTGTGAAGAACACTCAGGGTTCTGCCCCTGAACAGTGGCGCCATGCGCCCGCCTGTCTGAGCGGACAGGACTGCTGGTCTCACAGGTTGCTGGACGACTACCTGGAAGCAGTCGAGGGGATCAAAAGGCACCTGTTGCGCAGATCTGAGCCCAGCAAGCTCGCCTTCGTGGGGGAGCTCACCCATGGCCGCTTCAGCGCCAAGATGGTGAGCACCTGTGCGGTCCAGGCAGGGCTGGGGCTTGGACCCACCCCCTTGTCCTTGACACCCGGGCTCCGATTAGGAGAGAACAGTGGAGTCTCAGCCACGCAGGACGAGGGGTCAGAGGCAGACGTTGGCTGCGTGGCCTGGGCTGTCCCGCGGTGGCAGGGAGGGGTCTGAGGTGCCACAGGCACCTGCCCTTGGGCCTGCTCCCCTCCCCCAGCCCTGCCCTGCCGTGTGTGGGCTGGGGGGCTGGTCAGGCATGCTCCCCAGGACGTGGGTGTCCTTCCACCAGCTTGGCGGCCCATGTGGGGCTCTGGGTGCTTGGCCTGGGTGTCAGTCGCCTGCCCTGCTCCTGCCCTTGGAGGCTGAGGGCTCCTGGGATGTGGGAGGCTGGAGTATTGCTGGGACCGTCGTCCCGTGGTGGTGAGGAGACCGTTCCGTTTCAGGACCACCTGGTGTGCTTCCTGCCAGGGACACTGGCCCTGGGCGCCCACTTCGGCCTGCCCGCTGACCACATGGAGCTGGCCCGGGCGCTCATGGACACCTGCTACCAGATGAACAGGCAGATGGAGACGGGGCTGAGCCCCGAGATCGTGCACTTCAACCTGTACCCGCAGAAGGACCAGAAGGATGTTCAGGTCAAGGTGAGTGGGGCCAGGATGGGGCCAGGGCTGGGCACAGGGCACTGTGGGACTCACGCTGGGCCTGTGTCCCCAGCCGGCCGACAGGCACAACCTGCTGCGGCCCGAGACGGTGGAGAGTCTGTTCTACCTGTACCGCTTCACGGGTGACCGCAAGTACCAGGACTGGGGCTGGGAGATCCTGCAGAGCTTCAACACCTACACACGGGTGAGCCCACGGCCCTGCTCCTCCGGCTCCTCCTGCCGCCTTTCCAGGGCTGCGTGGGGGAGGGGCGGGCTTGCTGTGACTTCTGGTGACCTGCCCTTTTCTAGGTGTGACTCAGGGTCTTGGGCAGGCGTGTTCCTCCATCCTGTCTCGAGGGACTGACCGGTCAGGGAGGGTCCCTACACAGAGCACGTCCCTCCTGGGTCCTCCATGTGGCCTGGGCAGCCCAGGTCCACCTGGAATGACGGGACCACTGCTCTCCAGGACGGGCACCAAGACCACAGTGCCCCTCGCTGTCCTCAGACCCGCTGCCTGTCCTACCATTGGACCACAGGTCAGAGCAGGCCACGCCCTGCCCAGGGCCACTGCCTCTGAGCGGAGCTGAGGCGTGACCTTACCTTGTGGCCTGTGAGGCGCTGGTCCTGGGCCTGTCAGATGACTGGCCCTTCTGAGGCCTCTGCAGACAGGCTTTCTGTCGGTCACTAGAGGGCAGCTGGCGCCTCCCAGGGGTTTGGAGGAACCACACTGACCTCTGGGACAGCCAGCCCTTCTGGGACCTCTGAGCCCGCCAGCCCAGGCCCTGCCGGGGGCCGTGCATGCTGGGGTGAGGCAGGGGCGTTGGGGCGCCTTGGCTGGCGGTCCTCTCGGGGCCTGGGCCTGGGTGTCGGGAGCGGGCTGTGCCCCCAGCAGCCCGGCTGAGACCGTGCTCTTCGCAGGTCCCCTCCGGCGGCTATTCTTCCATTAGCAACGTCCGTGATCCCCACAATCCCCAGCTCAGGGACAAGATGGAGAGCTTCTTCCTGGGGGAGACTCTCAAGTACCTGTACCTGCTTTTCTCCGACGACCTGGACCTGCTCAGCCTGGACACCTATGTGTTCAACACAGAGGCTCACCCCCTGCCCATCTGGGCCCCCGCTTAGGGCCAGTGACTCCTGCGTGGGTGCTGCCCTGGCATCTGTCATTTCCTGTTTGAGGGCACCTGTCATCAGGACCCTGGCCCTGGATAGGTCCACCTCCTTTGACCTTGGCTGTGTGGTCTCCACCCAGCTGGCTGGATGTGCTCCGGGCCAAGCTGGTGACAGAGGCTATTAGATAGCGGGGCCAGGACATCTCCGGGCTTCGGAAGGTGCCCAGGCGGCCACCAGGCAGCAGGTGTTCCACCCCTGGCTGTGGGCTCCTTGTCTGTGGTTCCATCAGAACATCGTTAGGAACGAGGAGGAAGAAAGTAGCGCTGTGGTTCAGGGGGGTCCAGTCCACGGGGGCTTTCCTCCTCCTCCCTGAGAAATCCCCAATTGTGACTTAACATTCCTAAAACCTGAATGTGCTGTCAGCTGATATACGGGCTTCATGGGGGTCCTGGGCCTCTGGTCACCTCCTGGGGCCACTGTGTCCCCCGACCCCGTGTTGCGTTCCAAGGACAAGAGCTGAGGGGGCGCCGGAGGAGCGCAGCAGCCTTGGCGTCTGTCTGAGCGTCTGGCCTGAGGCCTCGGGCGTCTGTGCCCCCTGGGGTGGGGCCTCTGGCTGGCTGTGCGGTTTGCGTGTTGGACTCAGGGAACCTGCAGGGTCTGGCGGCAGGTGACACGCTCACGCTGCTCGCAGGCCACCCGATGGAATGACCTTCGGTCGGGATAAAGTAGATGTGCTCACCGGCGTCCGTGTCTGTGTGCGCGTCTGCGCCTTGGCACCTGGGTGGGCGCGCAGGCAAGTGGGCTGGTCACCCTCACACCCCACATGCATGCTTTTCTGGGTGTGGTCTCCTGGGGTGGGGGGTGCCCTCTGTCCCTCCCTGCGGCATCCATGCCTTAGGGTTCACCTGGGAGTGTCCAGAGAAGACACACCTGGGCCTGCCCCCGGCACCAGAGGACCTAGGATGGCTCCGCTGCCCTCTCCGGGCGGCAGCCATTCCTGTGTCGTTGCCAGGACACCCGCTGCCCTCAGAAGCGAGGGCCCGAGCACTGGACACTCCTCTGCCAGGGCTGGCTCCCAGCGTCGTCAGTCTGGCCTGAGCTCTGGGACGTGCTCCCTCGGGCCACCCAGGTGCCCGCCCCGTCTCTCCCACGGCTGCTGTCCTCCACCAGCCCAGCTGCCACCCGCCTCTCCTGGGCCTGTCTGCGGTGCCTCCTCCCAGCCCCTGGGGCTGCTGGCTCCCTCGGGCCACCCAGGTGCCCGCCCCGTCTCTCCCACGGCTGCTGTCCTCCACCAGCCCAGCTGCCGCCCGCCTCTCCTGGGCCTGTCTGCGGCGCCTCCTCCCAGCCCCTGGGGCTGCTGGCTCCCTCGGGCCTCGAGGGCGCTGTGCAGCCAGACTGGGGCAGTGCCCTCATCCTCCGTGGGGTAGAGCCCGAGGCAGCCTCTGCCCCAGGCCCAGGGCCCCCAAAGATGGACTGGGAGAGGTTGGAGGAGCAGAGCCACGCCCCCACAGTGGGCCCCCCTGGGGTGCACTCATGCAGTGGTATTTCAGCTGGCCACCTGAACACCCCCCCCCCCAGTCACATGCAAACAGCACACAGTTGAGGGTGGTTTTATTGTTGCTGATTGGGAAGGCTGGGCACTGCGTCCACTGTGCCCATGCCCTCTTCCCACGGGGCTTGGCCAGGCCCCACAGCTGTTCATTTTGGCGCCTCACACAGGCACGGCCCCACCCTGGAGTCACTAAGATGTGCCTCTCGGTCCCCTCAGGTCCTAGCTGGCTGAGCGCACCTCAGCCTCGGAGACACCGTGCTGTGTTCGCCGCATCCATACCTCGCGCCTAGCCTCTGCGACCCATTGGCGGATGAGGGCGGCTTCCAGCTTGCGTGCCTCCAGCACAGACATGGGATCTGCCGGGTTGGGTGCTCTGAGGAGCAGGCAGGGGGCCACTTAGGACCAGGCCAGCTGTGGACCCGGCAGGAGTAGCACCCCTCCCTAGGCAGGACCATACCTGAGGTCTAGGTGATGTGCTCCCCCTTGGATACTGATAGCAATGACCGATGCACTCAGGTTTCTCTGGATCTGTTGGTTGGAGATGCCCATCGTGTGTGACGTGAACTCTGGGCAGTCAGCCCCCAGCCCTCCTGCACAGCCTGCATGTCCCCGCTGAGGGGTGCAGCTAGAGCAGCAACTTGAGGTGACTACATAGCCTTGACTGGCCTCATCGAAAAGGTGAGCCTGAGGCCAGGTCCCATTAAGCCAGGAAAAGAACCAGGAGGGGTGAGGTGAGAGTAAGGAGGTACAGACCCAGGGTGGACCTCAGCACAGGCAACACAGGCTCCTTGGGAAGATTCTGCAGACCCCCAGGGGAGCCCTGCACAGGACAGGCACCATCTGACAAGGCCCCTGCAACTCACCCCGCCCCCTGCCCAGGGGTCCAGGTCACCGTTGGAGAAGATGATGTTGCTGGCAGCTCTGAGGTCTGAAAGGGACAGAGCAAGTGGTGGGAGATGGCAGGGCCCCGATCTCTGAGGCACGGGGCAGCTCAGACCCCAGTTTTGCTGGCTAGGGTGCAGAGGCAAAGATCAGGCCCCTCCCCACCCGGAACCTCACCGGCCCCCCCGAAGAGGGTGCGCAGCCAGTCGGGCCGGGGCCACACGCCCCATGTGTCCAGGCAGTACTGCTGGCGCAGCTCCTCCGTGAACAGCAGCTCAGGGAAGATGTCCGTCACGTTGTTGCTGGAGAACGTCAGGTTGATCTCCGTGCATGCCTGGGTGGGGCACCTCACTCAGCATCCTGTCCTGCCCTTGCCAGGCCCCTTTCCCCCGCCCCCCGACCATCCCAGGCCCCTATCCCCGCCCCTGACCATCCCAGGCTCCTAACCTGGTAGTCCCAGGCCCCTATCCCCATCCCTGGCTGTCCCAGGCTTCTAACCTCGTAGTCCCAGGCCCCTATCCCTGCCCCTGACCATCCCAGGCTCCTAACCTGGTAGTCCCAGGCCCCTATCCCCCCCTGACCATCCCAGGCTCCTAACCTGGTAGTCCCAGGCCTTGGCATTGGGGCCCAAGCCACAGCCTGTGGGGTCTGCACAGGTCTGGTACAGCAGGTAGGTATCAAAGCAGGGCTCCATGCCCGTAGAGTTGTACACTAGCCCTGGGGGAGAGGGGTGCTGAGGCCAGGCCTTGGATACCCACCCACCCTGCCCGCTCAGAGAAGTTTTGTGGGCATCAGCACTCTGGGGTCTCGTGCCCAGGAGTGAGGTCCCCAAGTCCGGACTAGCAGCCCCGGCCCTCCCTGCTGAGATCCGCCACACCCCCTGGAGCAGTGACCCCAGGCGGGGTCAGGAGGCAGATGGCCACTTCCTACACAAAGGCGATGGGGGGGTGTCCTGGGCACCGAGGTCCCCACCCCCACATAACCAACCTGCCTCTACACCAAGGTCAGGGCCCTACTCGACAGTGGGCCCAGGGCTGAGGGGCAGACGCACCCACCAGTGCTCCAAGTCCCTTGATTCTCTGGTTCTCATTCAGCAGCCGGTCACAGGCCACCTATTTGGGGTGTTTCAGGAGAGCACCTCAGCAGAGAGGCCCCTCTCAGCTCACCTGCCCCGGTCCCAGGTACACAGCCCTCAGGGAGCTGGCCCTTCCCTGCCCACGGGAGTGGCGCCTTGCCTTGACAGGGTTGGCAGGAAGGCCCACTATGAAGTCGGTGGGGTACGGGTAGTCCATCATGGCCAGCACAGTGAAGGCGTTCCGGGCAAACCCGAAGAGCTGGACCAAGTCCTTCCACCCCGAGAGCGGCTTGCAGGTGCCAAACATCTGGCTGATCATGGTGTATGCTGACAGGAGGCAGGACGGGGCCTTGGGGGCTGCTGGCAGGCGGGAGGGGTGTGGGGGCAGGGCGGGGAGGGGGGCGGCCTCCTCACCTCCCTGTAGGAACAAGTCCTTGATCTGCTGGAAGGCATCCCGCACGCCCTGGGCACACTTGGGACCCTGGCCCTCAAAGTCCTGGAGAAAGGAGAGGCTGTGGCTGCATGCGGGGTGCTTCTGGATGCCCCACCCACCCTGAGGCTCCCAGCCCGTCACTCACCGCCGAGACATCCCGGAAGAACTGGTAGGAGTCGCCAAAGCCCGCCACGGATACCACAGGTGCGCTGGCTGCCAGCGCCCCAGCCACCAGGTGGGGGTACTTCATTCTCATGTAAGCGCTGAGCATCCCCCCATAGCTGGTGGGGGCGCAAGATCCAGGCTGTGGCCCTCCCCGGACAGCCTCTCAGCCACCAGGGGTGGGGGCCGCGGACCAACACAGCCCCTTCCCCTCTCCAGCTCCCCCCTGCCCCCTGCCCCACAGAAGGCTGGCCCCGGGCGGGTGCCCGTCTGCCCCTCGGAGAGGAGGGGATGGTGAGGACCCACCTCCCACCGAAGGCGATGGCAGGGATGTCCTGGGCCTTGAGGTCCTGCCGCAGCCACTGCAGCAGGCTGGCGAAGTCGGCCAGGGCCTGCTCCACGGTCAGCAGCTCCAGGTGCCCGCGCTGCGTGGACCGCTCGCCGAACGGGAGGGACTTTCCGTAGTACCGCTGCGGGCAGGGACCGGCCTGACCTCACCGCCTGCCCAGCCCCCGCCCCGCCCCAGCCCCCTGCCAGTACCCACGTGCTCCGCAAAGACGACCAGGGCTGCCTGCTCTGCCGCCAGCTCCAGGATGAACCCCGAGTTGTTGGCGAAGGACCACACGTCCCCCTCGTTGCCCGTGTAGAAGAACAGGGGCCCCTCACCCCTTTTCCAGAACTTCTCTGTGGGGTGCAGGCAGGAAGGGGTGGATGAGGCTTGGAACAGGCCTCCCGGGGCTGGGGGTCTGCAGGCGACCTCACCTGACACCAGGAATCGCTGCCGGAAGGTCTTGTTGCCGAACCTCTCAAAGTTGAAATGGTCTAGGAGCTGGTCGAAGTAACGCTCCCGGAAGTCGGGGTCCAGGGCTGCGTGGCCTGCAGGGCGTGATGCTCAGAGATGGGCGGGCTGGCAGGCCGGGGCAGGGAGGGCCCGGACCCCACTTACCCCCCAGCTCCTGGCTGCAGAGCCCCAGGGCCAGCAGCAGGCCCAGGGCGCAGGGCAGGTCGGCCAGAGACCGGGGCCTCATGTCTGTCTGAAGGTTGTGAGCGTGTCACGTGACTGGCCGGGACACCCTCACGTGGCAGCCTGGGACGCACTGCACTGTGCGCCGGGCTGGCCCGCCCTCCCTGCTGGCGCCTCTGTGTTTCCTTCCCATCCTCAAGCTTCCTGGCAGCCACTGTGTCACCATGGAGATGGTTGCCATGGGGACATACACAGCAAGTCGAAGGCTCGGCCTGGCGCTGGCACGGGAGGAGTGCCCAGCCCCCGGCCCCACCCCACCCCACGGGTCACCCAGGCTGGTCTTCCTTGTGCCAACACACACCCGGGCAAGAAGTGACCAGCCCCATTGTCCTGGCCACTCAGGCGTCCGGGCCTCACAGCCAGTGGAGATGTCCTGGACCAGAGCCCCTGCGGACAGGCCCGTGGGGGAGGGGCAGGGTGAAGGAACGCTGCCGAGGGGTGGAGACGGGCTTCAGAAGATGGGGGTGGGGTGTCCATGCAGAGGGCAGCAACCCTGAGAGAGGGGTTTGTCCAAGTGACAGCCAGCGGCCACATGGCCACGGCGCAGGGGTCCTGGAGCCCAGGCAGGGGTTGGACAGCCAGAGCGTAGCTGCAGAAAGCCTGGGGAGGAGGAGGAGGAGGAGGCCCAAGGCCTCTTCTGGGAGCTGGGACGCTCTCCCCTCCCCTCACTGGCTCCTCAGTGAGACGGCCTCCCCAGAGGTGCTAGTGCCCAGAGGACAGAGAGGCCACCTACCCCTGCCCCAGCGTCCAGTCCAGGGTCTGGGTGAGGGGCCAGACCCACAGAGCTGACCCCAACCCTGCCCGCTGCCGAGGGAAGGGGTAACACCCATCCCCACTCCTAAAGACTGTCCATGGCCAGCGTGGCCCCAGTCTCTGCCCAGGCTGGGCCTGTCTGGTGCTGGCTTAGGAACCCAAGGCACCCAGCCAGGCTGGGGCTGACGGGGGAGGTCTGGCCACTGGAGTCTGCCCTTTGGCTGCCCCTCACTTTGTCCCAAGACCATCGCTGAGGCAACCAGCATGGTGACAATGACTGCCCATCACATCACACCAGCCATGGGTGTGGCCATCTCCTGATCACCTAGTGCCACACCACCATCACCCCAAGCCCCTGCCCCTGCATCGCCCCATGTCCTCTTGTGCCCCCTACCCCTGTGTCCCCATGTCCCCTTCCTTGTACTCCTGTGTCCCCGTGTCCTTGTGTCCCTGTGTCTCCGTCCCTGTGTCCTCGTGCACCCTGTGTTCCCGTGTCCCTGCCCCTGGATGCCCACCGCTGTGTTCTCATCCCTGTGTTTCTGTGACACCTTGTCCCTGTTCCTGTGTCTCTGTTCCTGTGTCCCCGTGCCCCCCGTGTCCCGCCCCTGCCCCTGTGTGCCCACCCCCGTGCCCCCGTCCCTGTGTGCCTGTGCCCCTGTGTCCCCGTCCCTGTGTCCCCGTGTCCCCATGCCCTCACCCCCGTACCCCCATATCCCCCTCCTCACGTCTCTGCATCTCTAAGTACCAATGTCCCCGGGTCCCTGTGTCCATGTTCCTTTGTCCCCGTACCTGCACCCAGGGCTGCCTGTCCTGTGCTAAGTAGAGAGCTGTCCTCTCAGGAGCCCAAGGCCTGTGCGGAGACAAGGACTCACAGCCCTTTCCCACACTGCCGCTGCTCCAGGCCCCCCTCAGATCACGTGCCGGATGCCCAGCCCCCACCGCAGACCTGCCTGGCAGCTCTTCCATCTGGGTGGCACCCGGAAGGTGTGTTCTGATCCCCTCCCAGTGGTCTTGCCACATGCGGTGGCCCTGCGCGAACAGGTACGTCTGGGGGTCCAGAAGCCTTCCCCACAACTTCCTGGGGCCAGGAACTTTGAGGACAATGCTGGGACCTGATCTCCACAATTCACAGATCTTGGGGAGCCAGACCTGGTCGCCAACACCCCCTGCTCTACCCCATTTAGACCTCAAAGCTGCCAGCAACAGGAAGTGATTATGGGGTCGGGTCCCCAGGTAAGCATTGAACTTGACCCTATTCACCATTTGTAAGTCGTTAGCTTTATGTTCACTCACAGGGTTGTGCAATATTCATCATCGGCTATTTCTGAAATGATTTCATCATCCCAAGCAAACCTCGCCCACCCAACGACTCCCCACGGTCTGTCTCCATGGGTGCACCCACTCTGCAGACGTGTGTGGAGTCCAGGCATAACGCCTTCAAGGTCCATCCATGTCCTAGCGTGTCAGAATGCCCTTCCTTTTGTAGATATATTTTTTCTTTATTGATTTTAGAGAGAGAGGAAGGGAGAGGGAGAGAGAGAGAAACATCGATGAGAGAGAACATCGACTGGCCGCCTCCTGCACGCCCCCTACTGGGGATCAGACCCACAACCTGGGCATGTGCCCTGACCGGGCATCAAACCAGCGATCTCTTGGTGCAGGGTCGACGCTCAACCACTGAGCCACACCAGCCAGGCTGCCCTTCCTTTTTTTAAAAAATTTTTTTATTAATTTATTTTTGTTACAGATGTTTCTCCTTTTTCCCTCATTATTTTTTATTTATATGTGTGTGTGTGTGTTTTAATCCTCATTTGAGGATTTTTTCCATTTTTTTTCAGACAGAGAGAGAGAAAAAAACATCGACATGAGAGAGACACATCGACTGGTTGCCTCCTGCATGACCCTCACCAGGGCACCTGAGGTCTGTGCCCTTGACTGGAATCGAACCTGCGACTCTGGTCTGTGGCTGAGGCTCTAACTGCTGAGCCAAACCGGCCAGGGCGAATATGACTTACTTTTAAAAAGGAAGGGCAGGCCCAGCTGGTGTGGCTATCCGCTTAGAGCGTTGGCCCATGGACCAATGAGTCTTGGATTCGACTCTGGTCAAGGGCATGAGCCTCGGTTGCGGTCTGTCCCCGGCCCTGGTTGGGGTCGTTCAGGAGGGAACCAGTCGATGTGTCCCTCTCACATCGATGTTTCCCTCTCTCTCTCCCTCCCTCCCACTCTCTCTGAAGATAAATAGAAAAATATTCTCAGGCCCTGGCCGGTTTGGCTCAGCGGTTAGAGCGTCGGCCTGCGGTCCGGAGAGACCCGAGTTCGGTTCCCACTAAGGGCGCGCACCTCGGTTGCGGTTTGTCCCCGGCCCTGGTTGGTCGTGCGGGTGGCAGCCACTCGATGTGTCCTTTTCACATCGACGTTTCTCTCTCTCTCCCCCTCCCACTCTATCTGAACGAAAAATGTCCTCAGGTGAGGATGGTAAAAAAAAAATTTTTTTAAAAGAAAGAGAAAAAGAAAAATATTCTCAGGCGAGGGTTAAAATATATATATTAAAAAAAGAGTCATATTCTATTGTATGTAGAAACTATATTCCCCTTATCCATTCATCCATAAGTGGACCTTTGGGTAGTTTCTATCTTAGCTATTTTGAGTGATACTGTCATGAACCTGGGTGGACAAATACCTGAGACCCTGCTTTCAATTCTGTTCTGTGTGTGCCCAGGAGTGGGACTGCTGGGTCAGTGGTCATCCTGGGTCCTTCTGTGAACATTGCTACACTGTTTCCACCTTGTTCCATTCCCGCCGGTGCAGTGTCCTCTCAGACTCTTGTCTCCTGTCTGACAGTGGCTGCCTGAGTGTGAGGTGGGCTCTGATCTGCATTTTCCTAATGAGCTGTGGTGGTGAGCGTATTTCACGTGCTTATTGGATGTTTCTGTCTTCTCTGGAGAAACGTCTGTTTCGGTGCTTTGCCTATTTTTTAGTAGGGGCCAGGGGGTCCCCAAGTAGGTGCCAGTGCTCTCAGCTCTGACCCATGTTGCACCTGCGGGTGTGACCACGTTCATTTGTGTGTGTTAAGTTATTCATGAGACACGACGAACCCTATTAAGAAGCATGCTTTTTTTCTTCGTTGCGTTTATTTTTATTGTTGAGTTTTCGGCGCTTTTAAAAATATATTCCGGATATTAACCCTCTGTCAGCCGTGCAGTTGGACATTTTTCTCCCACTCCCGGGGGTTGCCTTTTCAGTCTGTTGATACTGTTCTTTGGGGCACATGTTTTTATTCTGATGAAGTCCAATCTGTCTGTTTCTTCCTTTGTCACTTGTGCTTTGGGGGTTTTGTCTAAGGATCCATTGTCAAGTCCAGGTTGTGAAGATTTACCCGTGTTTTTGTTTATTAAATATGTTTTTATTGATTTTTTAGAGAGAGAGGAAGGGAGAAAGAGACAGAAACATCGATCAGCTGCCTCCTGCACGCCCCCTACTGGGATCGAGCCCACAACCCAGGCTTGTGCCCTGACTGGGAATTGAACTGGGACCTCTCAGTCCATGGATGACTGAGCCACATCGGCCGGGCCCTATGTTTTTTTAAGAGTTTTATGCTTTGCCCTGGCCAGTGTGGCTCAGCGGTTAGAGTGTCAGCCTGCAGACCAAAGAATCGTGGGTTTGATTCCAGCCAAGGGCACGTACCTCAGTTGTGGTTCGTTTCCGGCCCTGGTTAAGGTCATGCGGGAGGCAACCGGAGTTGATGTGTCCCTCTCACGTCGCTGTTTCTCTCTCTCCCTTTCTCTCCCTCCCCCCGCAATCCCACTGTATCTGACGATAAATGGAAAGATATCCCCAGGTGAGGATTTAAAAAAAAAAAGTTTTGTGCTTCTAGCTCTTAAATTTATGTCATCGATCCACTTTGAGTTAATTTTTGTGTGTGCTGTGAGGTAGGGATCCAACTTCATTCTTTTTTTTTTTTAATCCTCACCCGAGGACATTTTTCCATTTATCTTCAGACAGAGTGGGAGGGAGAGAGGGAGGAAGAGAGAGAGAGAAACATTGACGTGAGAGAAACACATCTAGTGGCTGCCACCCGCACGACCAACCAGGGCTGGGGACAAACTGCAACCAAGGTACGTGCCCTTAGCAGAAACCGAACCCAGGTTTCTCTGGACCGTGGGCCAACGCTCTAACCGCTGAGCCAAACTGACCAGGGCCAAAGAACATTTTTTCCATTGATTTTTAGAGAGAGTGGAAGGAAGGAAGGAACGGGGGGAGGGGGAGAGAGAGAGAGAGAGAGCAAAGCATCTTGTGAGAGAAAGACATCAATTGTTGCCTCCCACATGCACCCCAGTCAGGGCTGGGAACCCAGGTATGTGCCCCTGAGCAAGAATTGAATCTGTGACCCTGTGGTGTATGGGCTGACACTCAACCACTGAGTCACACCAGCCGGGGCTGCTCTTCTTTTTGAAGATCATTTCGTCTCTTCCAGGCCTCTGGCATTCCATATAAATCTAAGAACTGACTTTTCCATTTCTGCAAAAAATGCTGTTAAAATTTTGATAGGGATGGCACTGAATCTGTAGATCGTTTGGGGTAATATTGAAATCTTAAAATTTAGTCTTCCTACCCATGAACAAAGGATAACTTCCCACTTCTTTATCTCAACAATGTTTTATAGTTCTCCGTGTACAAGGATATCACCTCCTTGGTCAAATTTATTCCTAGTTATTTTATTCTTTTTTTTTAAATTTTTTCTTTATTGATTTTAGAGAGAGGAAGGGAGAGGGAGAAGGAGAGACAGATAGAAATATCAATGAGGCAGAACATTGACTGGCCGCCTCCTGTACGTCCCCCACTGGGGATCAGGCCCACAACTTGGGCATGTGCCCTGACTGGGAATCAAATCAGCGACTTCTTGGTGCAGGGTCGACGCTCAACCACTGAGCCACACCAGCCGGGCCGTTATTTTATTCTTTTAGATGCTACTTTTAAATGGAATTGCTTTTTAAATTTCCTGTTGGGTTGTCCATTGCAGGAGCGTATAAGCATAGCTGAGTTTGTTGATCTAGGACCCGAAGCTTCCCTGTAGGTGTCATCGGCTCTGGTAACTTTCTCGAGGACTCTGTGGCAGTCTCTGCAAACAGAGAGAGTTTCACTTCTTCCTTTCCGGTGTTCTCCTTTTTCCTGTCTAATTGCTCTGGTTGTGAAATCCAGTACAATGTTGAAATAAGACATCCTTGCCTCATTACTTAGAGGAACAGCTTCGTCTCTCCCCACTGAATGTGATGTTAGCTGTGGGTTTTCATAACTGCCCTTTGCCATGCTGAAGATGTGCCCTATTTTTCTGAGTGTTTCTACCATGAAAGGGTGTTAGCTTTTGTCAAGTGCCTTTTTTTTAAACCCTCACCCAAGAATTGATTTTTTTAGAGAGAGAAGAAGGGAGGAAGAAGGAGAGAGAGAGAGAGAGAGAGAGAGAGAGAGAGAGAGAGAGAGAAACATTGATGTGAGACAGAAACATCGATCAGTTGTCTCCCATACAGGCCCTGACCAGGGATAGAACCTACAACCCAGGTATGTGCCCTGATCGGGAATCAAACCCACAACTTTTAGGTGTATGGCTCCAACCAACTGAGCCATCTGGCCAGGGCCCTTCGTTGTTTTTTTTAAAGCTTAGTGACTCATTTATGGCTAAGTTCAAACCAAGACCTGTGAATTTTCTACCTACTACAGATCGGACATAGATACAAGGTGCGGCCGATCGTTCTCTCTCATCGGTGTTTCTATTTCTCTCTCACTCTCCCTGCCTCTCTTTCTAAAATCAATAAAGAAAAAAAATCAGTGGATTGAACCTACATGTTTCATTTGCACTCAAATGACTTTCCTTCCTTCCTTCCTTCCTTCCTTCCTTCCTTCCTTCCTTCCTTCCTTCCTCCCTCCCTCCCTCCCTCCCTCCCTCTTTCTTTCTTTCTTTCTTTCTTTCTTTCTTTCTTTCTTTCTTTCTTTCTTTCTTTTCATTCATTCATTCATTCATTCATTCATTCATTTCTTTATTTTGTTAATCCTCACCTGAGATTATTTTTCCATTGAGTTTTACATAGAGTGGAAAGGAAGGAGGGAGGGAGGTGCAGAGAGAGAGAGACATGAATATGAGAAAGACACATCGGCTGGTTGCCTCCCACACCACCCCAACCCAGGTTAGGGATCAAACCTACAACCCAAGTAAGTGCCCTTGACTGGGAATCGAACCCACGACGCTTTGGTCCACAAGCTGACACTCAAACTGCTGAGCCAAACTGGCCAGGGCTATTTTTATTATTATTTTTTAATCCTTACCTGAGGATATGCTTTTTTTATTGATGAGAGAGAGAGAGAGAGAGAGAGAGAGACATCAGTGTGAGAGTGAAATGTTGACTGGCTGCCTCCTGCTCGCCCCCCAACCCGGGATGGACCCGGCAACCTCTCGGTGTGCAGGGAGCTGCGCCGCCCCAGCCAGGACTTGCCTTTCCTGTTTCAGTAGGAAGGATCGTGTGCTCACCCTTGTTCTAGCGCGTGGCACGTTTCACTGATTGTTTTGCTTGTGTCGAAGCACCTGCGTCCTGGGATAAACTCCACTGGGTCATACTGCGAAATCCTTTTAACACCTGGATTGGGTTTGTCAATATTTTGGTGAGGCTTTTGCATCGATATTCATAAAGAATGTTGGACTGTAGGTCTATTGTGTTGTGATGTCTTTCTCTGGGTTTGGTCTGAGGGTGATGTTGGCCTCACAGGATGAAGTAGGAAGTGTTCCCTCCCCTTCCGTTTTCTGGAAGAGTTTGGTAAGGATTTGTATTAATTCTTCAAATGTTTGGTGAAATCAGGAGTGAAGCCATATGGCCCTGGGTGTCCCTTTGTGGGGAGATTTTTTATTATTGCACCAATGTCTTCATTGGTTACAGGTCTGTTGAGATTTTCTATACCTTCCTGAGTAATTTTAGGTAATTCTGAGTTTCTGAGAAATTGTCCATCTTGCCAAGACGATTAAATTTGTTGGCATACGATAGATATTTAACAGTCTTCTCTCACAATCCTTTTCATTTCTGGTTTCAGCCATTCATGTCTTCCTTTTCTCTTTGCAAGTTGAGCTAAAGGTTTGTCATTTTGTCGGTATTTCAAATAGCTGACTTTGGTTTTGTTGGTCACCTCTGTGGTGTCCTGCTCCCTAGCTTGCTGTACCATACCCTTCCTTCTGCTGCTCGGGTCCCGGTCTCCGTTCTGACCTTCCTGCTCCTCACAGGAGGTGGTGCAGCAGGCCTGTCTGCGGGCACGTCCTTTCCTCTGCCGGTGCCAACCCGACATGGGCGCGGGGACCTCAGCACAGTGACCGCTTTGCAGTGAGACTTGGTGGGCTCCTCCCAAGAGGGTCTCTCTGCGGACGTCCTCATTGTGTTCACGTCATCTTCCTCATTTCCGTGAGGTCTGGGGCCTGGTTTCCTCGAGCTCCTTGAGCATATTTTTTTCTATATTGACTTTAGATAAAGAGAGAGGACGGGAGAGGGAGAGATAGAGACACCAATGAGAGAGAACATCGACGGGCCGCCTCCTGCACGCGCCCCACTGGGGATCGGGCCCACAACCTGGGCATGTGCCCTGACCAGGAATCGAACCAGCGCCCTCTGGGTGCAGGGCCGATGCTCAGCCACTGAGCCACACTGGCCGGACCCCTTGAGCATAATCGTGCTGACCTCTCGACTCCTTCCGGTGGTTTCCACCCCTCACTGGTGCGCTCTGCGGGACCCCGCCTGCCCACGTGCTTTCTCCTGGCGATTGTGTTGCTGCGGCCGCTGAGAGCCGGCAGCGACGGCTCAGCCCCTCTGCTGAGGTTCCCGAGGGGGATGAGGGCTGGAGCTCCGTCCTCCGCTGCGGGGCTGACGTCTCTCCTCTCGGGCGTCTCTGATCTCTCCATTATACCAGGTCCTGCGTCTCCGTCATTTCTGCTCTGATTTCACCGTGTGCTACCCTCACTCGCTGTTTCTTCGTGAGGCTGAATACCTGCCCACCTGTCCCCGACTGTGAAAACGGCCCTCATGTAACAGCAGGGACGTCGGAGGCATGACCGACGTCAGAGGCATGACCGACGTACGGACGGAAGGCGGCAGGATTACCCAGGATGGGAACCTGACTCTCGGGACTGAGTTCTGAGGTGTGAACAAAGGAAATGGCTTTTCCCCAGCTACACCCAGGGCTTCACAGTGACACCCGCTCACCAGCACGGGCAGTGTCAGGGGCACAGAGACTGGAACGCCGGGAGGGGACGGCAGGCCACTCTGGTCCCTCACGACGGGCTACCTGGGTTTTCCAAACTGAGGGTCTGCTGTGCCACTGTCTGGGAAAAAGTCACGTTAAGTACCAGTGACGCGTGCAGGGAGACCAGGTGTCCTGTGCCTTCTGCTACCGAGGGGACCATGCCGGGGGGAGCTGGGGCCCCGCAGCCAGACCCAGACCGCGCTCAGCACCAGGCTCAGTGAAGAGGCCGCTGTGCGTGTTGGTGAACATGGGCCCCAGCCCGTCCTTCCCCGGCAGGGAGTGGACGCGCCGTGTCACCTCCTCCACGGCCTCCTGGGCAGACGGGGAGAGGGCGGTGAGCGAGGGCACCGAGCAGTCCGGGGCTTCCTGCGCTCAGCCCTGCCCGATCCTTTCCCCGGGCAGCACAGCGGCTGGAGTCCTGGCTGCTGCTTGCTCGGCCCACTACCCCCTGCCGCACAGCAGCCCAGTTTGTGCACAGGCCCTGACGACAGGGCCGACCTCGTCCTCCCGGCAGGTCCCGCCCCTGCGTGGGGGCTGTGTCTGACGCCCACACACCCACCCCACGTCCGGCACGTCCTCTCCCGCAGGATGCCCAGGGGCCCGGGGTGCAGAGGGGGCCGCACCTGCTTGGTTCTGAAGGCTGGGGGCCTCCCGGGACGGCCTGGTGGGAGCGTCTGCCTTTCTGGAAGGGACTTGGGTGCCCTGCTCCGGCTCGATCACTGCTCCCCGCCAGCTGCAGGGAGAGAGGGGCCATCGGCACGGGCACAGACGCAGTCCCGCGGTGGCCGCCCAGCTGGGCTCGGCCTCGCCCTCTGCACCGCACAACCAGGAGGCGGGTGCCCACCCGGGGCGCTCAGGAGAGGCAGGAATGGCCTGCTTCCGAAGGGAGGCAGACAGACACACAGACGCCTGTCACACGCGCCTCCTCTTTCTGCTCGGTTTTCAGGAGACCACGCGGGAGGCCTCTGCGCTCCCCCACATCAGCCCCGCCTTGCTGCCCCCGGTACCTGACCACCGTTCTCCGCGGGACTTCGTCCTGGTGAGCCGTGGCCAGCGCCTCTTCCCGCTGCTTGGTGTCATCCTGACTCCTGTCCTCCCGGTGTTTACTGGGGGCTCTGATCTGCAGGTTGGGGGGTCCCCGCTGCACATGCCTTGGAGGCTTCTAGACAAACGGAAGAGTCACTTGTGAGGACAATTCAGTGCCTATGGGCTGCCATTTCGTGTCCACCTGGGACTCTCCCCATCAGACCAGACCCCAGTGTTGTGTGTGAGCCGAATTCTTCTCATGCTCACTGTGATAGCAGATTTGGGGAAGCACCTTTCATGTCTTCTGGCCCTGACCAACCTGGTACAGACTCCACACGCAGTCCAGTAAGCCCTGGGTGCAGGTTAAACCCGGCCCAGGACAGCTCCAGGCTGTCACAGGCCCTAAGGGGGCACAAAGGGGTTCGAGGCACCCAATGAATGAAGCGGCAGAGACCCTGTTGCAGGCCGGACACGGGCCTCCCGCTTTATCCTCAATCCGTGTGGCAAAGGCACCAGGTCTAGTGACCACGGGCGGGGCTCAGGCACGCTGCTGAGGACAGAGTTCCGCATCATCTTGCTGCCAGTCCTCCATGGCGGGTGTGTCCAGACACCTCCCCGGACAGGACAGGGCCCACGTGTGAGTCAGAGAGTCCCAGTAAGGAGCAGCCACGAGCCATGGAAGAAATGCCTGAGCGTCACCGGGAGGAGCCGCGCTCTGTGCACACTCGTGGGGCTGGAGAGGGGCCTCCCGTCGGTCCCTGGGCGGTGCTGCAGGGGGAGGCCAGCACCTGGCCCAGATCCTCTCCCTGACCAGCCCAGAGGGCGACCCAGGTGCACAGCACCGTGTCCTCAGAACCGCCAGTCTCAGAGGGGCCGTCCCTGGCTTTCTGACCGGTTCTCGTCTCCATGGCCCTGCCCTGGTCCCCACACCAACTGTAAAGGTGGGGTCACCCCAGGACCACACAGGCTCCTCTTGCCCCCTTCCTAGAGGACCAGGACCCCACACCTGGGGCCTCGCACACCTGTCTCCCATATCCAGACTCTAATCCTGACTGCTTCCCCATCCGGGCCCTGCTGGATTTCAGCTCCACGAACAAGCCGAGCTCCCTGCCTCGGGCAGCTCCCTGGGTCAGACCCTGCTCCGGCTCTGCCCAGACCCAGGGGCTCCTCAGCCTTCAAACTGCTGCCCAGTGTGCCGCCCTCAGAGAGGCTGCCCTGACCCAGGCCTGGCCTCTCTCTGCAGGTGTCTGCTCTCGTCCTTGCAGGGCGCACCTGTGGGCCACCTGCCTGCTCCTGCAGCTCACCTGCCTCTCCCCCCAGCCTGCTGTCCGGGAGAGGACAGTCTGTTCTGTTCACCACCTGGCCCGGGATCCAGAGCGCAGCACGTAAGCAACAACAACAAAGGAAGGAAGATTCCTCCTTCCTTCCTTCCCTCCGTGTCCAACCAGCCTACAAGTGAGGTCGAGACACCATCAGACGGCCAGGGAAAGCGTTCTCCCAACTGGTTTGAATCTCACATACTGCGCTGACGCTTCTGCACCCGGGCCGCTTCCAACCCACCGTAACTCGGAACGTACCTGAGGTGACAGCCCCGGGCCGTGTCCTGGGTCAGCGTCTGCCTTCTGAGGAGCTGGCAGGACCGGCGGGTTTGCTGGCCTCGGCACCTGCTCTCCCGCTGCCCTGTCGTTCGGGGCTGACAAGAGAACCTCTCACTCAGCGTCCACCTGGCTGCGAGGACACCAGCGTGCTTCTAGGGGTCACCTAGACAGGCGCTCGCTGCTCTTACAAAGGACGCCCTCAGTCCTCAAGGGCGTCACCGAACTGCACTCAACAGTGGCCAGGGAACCCAGCCTTCTCCAAGGTCGTCTTTGTGCTCGTTCCCATCCACCACCCCAAACGCTTCGCCGTAACGTCCACTCCAGGAGGTCCCCCAGTCACCCGCAGCGGCTCGTCAGCTCTCCTCCTCCTATCAGCCAGCTCAGAGGAGTTCAGAGCCTCTCCGCGCCCTCGCCAGCTCTCAGCCCGTCCTCTCCGAACACAGGGGCGTGGGAGTTAGGAATTCACGCCATGTGCTTAGCGCGAGCTTCAGCCTCAGAGCCGGGCACGGGCCGCCGACCCCACGGCACACTGGCAGGCTGGCAGGAAACACGTCCACGCCCGTGTTCCCGGGGTGCGGGGCACTCCACGCCCCTTTCCACCTGCTTTCCTGGCCCATTCCTTGCCCTCTCCCGCTCCTGGACCTGTTCAGGGGGACTGCCCCATGGCTCCTGCTAGTCCACCCCGGGGCCTGGGCGCTGGGGGAGCTGGTACCTTTCCACGGGTCGGCCACGCTGATGTAGAGCAGGAGCCCACAGAGCATCAGAAAGGCCAGGATGAAGAGAATCACGTTCCTCTGTAACCTCGACAGCTGCTTCCATCTCTAAGGGAGGGCGGAGAGGAACAGTCTTTACTGACAAGAACACAGCTAGAAATCTCTTCCCCCGGGGCCGCCTCCGTGAGGACAGGGAGACACTCGGCAGGTCCCGTGTGCAGGTCTCTCGCTTCTGAACGGGGGCAGTTCCTTCGGCTGGGCCGGCAGTGCCGGTGACGGGATGCACTTGGACAGGGAAGATGAGGGTGGACACGGGCGTGGAGTCCGCTCTGTCCCGGGACGTGAGCCGCGGAGAAACACGCTGCAACGCGCCGCTGGGGCTCAGTCCCCGCGGGACCTGCACCTGCTCAGAAGCCACCTGTGGGCGCTGCGCGGCCCGAGACCACCGGGGACGCACCGGGGTCGCACCATCGAGCTCATCCAGGGAACCGCAGGTGCCCAACAAGCGTGTTGAGGGGGCACCGGAGCTGCTTCTCCAAATTGCTGCTTGGCCAAGGACAGACAGCGAGGCCCAGGACAGCACTTGTGCTCAGGGGCTCCCTCTGCTGGGGCGGGGATTAAACAGTGTGTGCACCAGAGCTGCCTACGTGTCTGCTGTCGTCGGACCAGCCCGCCACCTTCTCACGTGACAGCGGCTATGCAGAGAGTTTCAAGAATCAGCAGGATGGCCCTGGCCAGTTTGGCTCAGCGGTTAGAGCGTCAGCCTGCAGACCAAAGCGTCGCGGGTTCGATTCTAGTCAAGATGTACCTCGGTTGCGGTTCAGTCCTTGGCCTTGGTCAGGATTGTGCAGGAGGCAACCAGTCGATGTGTCTCTCCCCCCACCCCCATTATATCTGAGGATAAATAGAAAAGAATATCCTCAGGTGAGGATTTAAAAGAAAGAAAAAGAAGGGACAGGATCTTTGGCTAATTATGACACAGTAGTTGTCAGCAATAAAACGATGGAGAATGTTTGTAATAGGTCTTGAAGCCAAGAACCTAGGTATGCGATCAGGCAATGAAACGTCCCAGAATCCAGCTGGGTCTGTTTTGGGGAGTTGGGTAGCTTCCTCTCCATTCCACCCTACTTTCTTGTTGTTAATCCTCACCTGAGGGTATTTATTCCATTGATTTTTAGAGAGAGTAGAAGGTAAGGAGGGAGGTGGTGGGGGGAGAGATCGATGTGAGACAGAGATTGGTTGCCTCTCACACGCGCCCCAACTGGGACAGGGAATCAAACTTGCAATCAAGGTACATGCCCTCGACCTGCAAGTGAACCCACAACCCTTCCGTGTGGGGGCCAGTGCTCTAACCACTGTGCCACACTGGCCAGGCTCCACCCCACTTTTTTTTCAATCCTTACCCAGGGATATCTTTCCATTAATCTTCAGATAGAGCAGGAGAGGGGGAGGAGGGAGAAAGATCAATGTGAGAGACACACCAACTGGCTGCCTCCGCACGACCCCGACCAGAGCCGGGGATGAACTGCAACCGAGGTACGTGCCCTTGACCGAAATCGAACCCACGACTCTTTGGTCGGCAGGCTGACATTCTAACCACTGAGCCGAACCAGCCAGGGCAACAACCCATGTTTTAATCCTCATCACATCATTATTTACTCCGCAGTGTTTACATTGGTTTAACAAGAACTAGCTGAGACCAAGGATGGTGGGACTTTCCCTGACATCTCCAGCGAGTGGGTTTATTTGTTTGTTTATTTTAACCCTCCCCAAGGATATGTTCTGATTGATTTGAAAGAAAGAGGAAGGGAGAGAGAGAGAGACATTGATGTGAGAGAGAAACATCAATCGATTGCTTCTCAGACGGGCCCTGACCCGGGATCCAACCTGCAACCTAGGTATGCGCCCTGACCGGGGATGGAACCCACACCCTTTGGTATGCGGATGACACTCCAAGCAACTGAGCCACCCATCCAGGGTGAAACTCCTGCACTTACTTATTTTTGGTTAATCCTCCCCTGAGGTTATTTTTTCCCATTAAGTTTTAGAGAGGGAGGGAGGGAGAGAAACATCGATGTGCATCGATGTGAAAGAGGCATATCGAACGGTTGCCTCCCACACGACCCTGACCAGGGCCGGGGATTGGACCTGCAACCCAAGTATGTGCCCTTGACCAGGAATCGAACCCGTGACCCTTCGGTCGACGCTCAACCACTGAGCCACACCGGCCAGGGCGACGCTCCTGCCCTTTGAAGACAATGTTAAGAAAATGAAAAGTCTAGTCAGACTTGGAGAAAATATTTCAAAACAGGTTTCTGATAAAAGACTTTTATCCAGACTGTATAAAGAACCGTTATAACTCAATCTTTTTTTTTTTTTTTTTATCCTCACCCGAGGACATTTTTCCATTTTTTGTACAGATAGAGTGGGAGGGAGAGAGAGGAAGAGAGAGAGAGAGGGAAACATCGATGTGAAGGGACACATCGAGTGGCTGCCACCCGCACGACCAACCAGGGCCGGGGACAAACTGCAACCGAGGTACATGCCCTTAGCGGAACCGAACTCAGGTCTCTCCGGACCGCAGGCGGACGCTCTAACTGCTGAGCCAAACCGGCCAGGGCATAACCGTTATAACTCAATCTTAAGAAGATAATTAACCCAATTAAAATGGGCAACAGGTTTGAATAGACATGTCTTTCAAGAAAATTCACAGAATGCCCTGGCCGGTTTGGCTCCGCAGTCAGAGGTCGCTGGTTCAATGCCCGGTCAGGGCTCAATCCCCACTGGGGTGTGCAGGAGGCAGCCAACTGATGTTTCTATCTCTCTCCCTCTCTTTAAAAATCAAAAACATATTAAAAATAAATGAAAACCAATGAAAAAATATCCTCCGGTGAGAATTAACAACAGCAAAAATATACACATAAGGCCTGGCCAGTGTGGCTCACTGGTTGAGCATCGACCCCTGCACCAAGAGGTCACCGGTTTGATTCCAGATCAGGACACATGCCCAGGTTGTGGGCCTGATGCCCAGTGGGGGGCGTGCAGGAGGCGGTCAGTCAATGTTCTCTCATCGATGTTTCTCTCTCTCTCTCTCCCTTCCTCTCTCTCTAAAATCAATAAAGAAAAAAACTTTTTAAAAAACAGCTACACATAAGGATCATGAACATGAGAGGAGGATCAACATAATTAGTCATCAGGGAAATGTTAATTACAGCAATGAGACGTTACATTTATTAGAACACTGCCCAATAACAGAAGAATACTCCACTTTCTCTGGGGCACACAGAACATTCCCCAAGAAAAACCATATTATAGACCATAAAACAAGTCTCAATGTATTTTTTAGTTGATAGTATTTTTACTGATTTGAGAGAGAGAGAAACATGGATTTGTTGTTCCACTTATTTATGCATTCATGGGTTGACTCTTGTGTGTGCCCTGGCTAGGTGTATGGGGACAAAGCTCTGGTCAGCCAGGGCTCAAAGTATTTAAAATCATACAACACACGTATTCTTTTTTTTTTTTTATCCTCACCCGAGGATATTTTTCCATTTTTTGTACAGATAGAGTGGGAGGGAGAGAGAGGAACAGAGAGAGAGAGGGAAACATCGACGTGAAGGGACACATCGAGTGGCTGCCACCCGCACGACCAACCAGGGCCGGGGACAAACTGCAACCGAAGTACGTGCCCTTAGCGGGAACCGAACCCAGGTCTCTCCCGACCGCAGGCCGACGCTCTAACCGCTGAGCCAAACTGGCCAGGGCACAACACACGTATTCTGACCCCTATAGAAATTAAAGTAAAAATCAATAGCAGAGCCCTGGCCGGTGTGGCTCAAGTGTTAGAGCGTTTGTCTGTGCAGTGAAGGGTCAAGGGTTCGATTCCTGGTCAAGGGCACGCACTTGGGTTGCAGATTCGATTGGCAGCCCGGTCAGGGTGGGCGCAGGAGACAACCAAATCAGTGTGTCTCTCACATCAGCGGTTCTTCCTCTCCCTCCCTCCCTCCCACTCTCTAAAAATTCAGCGGCAAAAATATTCTTGAGTGGAGATTAACCAAAAAAAAATTTTTTATATCAATAGCAGAGCCCTGCCCTGTTTGGCTCAGTGTTGGAGCGCCGGCCCGCAGACCAGAGTCGTGGGTTCGATTCTGGTCAAGGGTATGTGCCTCGGTGGTGGTTCGTCCCCAGCCCTTTCGGGTCGTGCGGGAGGCAGCCAGTCGATGGGTCTCTCATTGATGTTTCTCTCTCTACTCCTCCCACTCTATCTAATGTAAAATATGCTTGAGGATTAAAAAACCAATCACTCAATCAATAGCAGAAATATATCTGTAAGTTATCCAAATATTTGGAACTTAAACAACTTACTTTGAAATAATCACAGGGAGAAATACAAAATATGTTTAATGGAATGAAAACTATGTCTGAGTTTGTGGGACCAATAGTAGCGCTTTGTGGGGGCTTTATAAAAAAAAATCAAAGTCTTGACGCCTCCTTCAGAAAACCCACTGAACCCCATGTTCCTCTTCTCAGTAGGACCACCTTTCTCCGGTGCTCAGGACAGAAACCCTGGAGTCATCCTTCACTCCTCACCCTCCTTGTCCCGTGTCTTGTCACCTCTACATCTCTTGCTTGGCACAGGGATTGTCCCTGTAGCTTCCTGGTCACTGGTCACCCTCCTCCCGCCCTTGGTCACCCACGTAGCAGCCAGATCGTCACTCATCTGGCCTAATCTCTCCAGGGCCCCCACTGCTCCCAAATAAAGCTGAAGGCCTTGTGGCCCCCCCCCCCCAGTCCCGGGATCTGGCCATGACCTCTCTGGCCTCCTCCCTCACTGTCCTCCCCTCACTCGGCTCCAGGCTGAACACCCCTACCCCAGGGCCTTTGCACATGACATTCACGCCTTCCTCAGATATTTGCATGGCTCGCTCTCATTCCACTCAGATGTCTTCCCGAACGGCTTTCAGGGGAGGCATCTCTAGAACAGTGCCCTGTATTGATTCGTGAGTCATCGACTGCCCCCAAGTTATCCCCGAACTCAGCATCTGGGACAATAGCATTTATTCTCTTTCACCATGTCTGTGTCCGGAATTCTGGGGCAGCTTGACAGGGTGGTCCAGGATCAGGGTCTCGTCTGAGGTGACAATGAAGACATCAGCCAGGCTCAGCCGAGGCCGGGCAGCCTCTGGTTTCCAAGGTGACTCGCTCCCACAACTGGCAGGCGGTGCTGGCCACGGGAGGAGGCCAGTCCCTCTCCCAGGGCTGGTGAAAGCCCTCACAGCGTGGCATCGGTGACCAGAGCAGGTGGCCCGAGAGGAACAGTGCCAGGGCAGCTGTTCCTTCTAGACCTCACCTCGGACGTCCCCTCTGCCACTTCTCCACGTCCCATTCATCAGAAGAGTCACCAAGTTCAGGCCACA